CAGACTTCACATGGGCACCAGAAAATACTTTAGTAGTATTTTCTACTTTTTAAAAGCCCTCTAGCTTTAAAGCAGTCCCGATTTTAAGGGATTGTCAATGTGGAAAGAACTTGCTGAGCCCTTCTACCTCTTTTGTGTTTTTTTCTTTGTCTTTGATACTGCGTCTTGCTCTGGCATCCAGGCTGGAGTGCAATCGTGAGATCATGGCTCACTGCAGCCTTGAACTCCAGGGCTCAAGCGATCCTCCCGTCTCAGCCTCTCAAGTAGCTGGGACTACGGGCACACATCACCATGTCCGGGTAATTTTTTCCTTTTTTGTTGCCCAGGCTGGTCTTGAACTCCTCTCCTAAAGCAGTCCTCCTAAGTTGGCCTCCCAAAGTGCTGGGATCACAGGCGTGAGCCACTGTACCCAGCTTCTTTTCTATATTTTTGTTAAGGCAAAAAAAAAAAAAAAGTTACAGTTAACATTTATTTTTAAGGTCTTCTTGGCCAACCACAGATATCTTTTGAAAATTTTTCTTACTTGCTATCCCTTTAAAACATCAATGTATTATTTTGAGGCCATATCATTGTCATATTGAAGATCTAGTGGACTTGGTGGGTTCTGTCTCACATTGGTTATTCCTTTTCCTCCCTCTGGCGTGGCCTGTGTGATAGCCCTAGTTTTCTCACAGTCTGCTGTCTGCAAAAGGGAGATACTACTAGCAAAGAATCTCAAAACAACGTTTTCACCTTTGTCCTTGGTAAAAATAATTTCACTTCCAGTTAAAGACAAAGTTTGCAGTAAACAATTTGTTTATTCTTTATGAGTTAATCTTTAAAACCACAGTGGTAGATAACTGCTGAACTGAATTAACTTTATTAGGAAAAAATAAAACAAGCTGTAAAGAGTACATATGATTATTGCCATGAAAATTCTTCTGAGAATCCAGTGAGGAAGTTAAAAAAAAACAAGGAAAAATTCTTCCAAAGTCTGTATACCATTTTGAAACATTTAACATTCAAATTTTAGTAACTTAGAGTATAGGTATGAAAGGGACGATCTGCAATTTTTCTGAAAATTAGAATGGATTTTCTTTTCATAGCAACTGTGAACTTCAGTTATGTTAGCCAAAGGGCAGTGATTGCCTTATCTTGCAGAGTAACCACATTTTGTTTACTTGAAGTGGTGATAACCTTTGTACAGTTATTTAGACATTGAACAACATGTAGGAGGCCAACAGGCATCCCCTTAGATGGCCCCTTTTACATGTCAGTTGCCTTGTGCAGGATAGCCACCTCCACTAAAATTTATTTATGAATTGTAAAGGTAACATATACTCATTGTGAAAAAATTCAAAAGATATAGATAGATGTATATAAAATAGAAAATGGAAGTATCCTGCCCTCTCCCTAGCTGTGTGCTTTTTTCGTGTGGCACATACTATTTTTTCATGTGACCACTTTTGTTTTTGCTGGCTGCCTTGGAAGCCACCTGTGAATGAACGCTAATTATTTCATCAGTCCTTACTGGGGGACATCAAAGTTGTTTCCAGTTGTGCTCAGATAGAGCAGTGGGCATCCTTGTGCATTGCTCTATTGTTATGTATGATAGATTTCTAAAAGTAAAATCACTGAGACAAAGGATACACACACACAAAAACATACACACACACACACTTTTTTGTGGAATTACATAAAGAGTTTTGTTTTTGATTAGGACATTCAGACATACCTGTACTTTCCTTGTACCAGAAAATGTATCTCACCCAGTTAAGGGCTGAAAGCACACAGACATACCTGACAGAACCCAGGATCTCTCAGGAAAATGCTTAAAAGTGGACACTACCATCCCGCGTATCCCTAGATAGCCCCATTTGAACACGCAAGTCTCACTCTGTCACCCAGGCTGGAGCGCAGTGGCGCAATCACAGTTTACTGCAGCCTTGACCTCCCAGGTTCAAGCAATCCTCCCACCTCAGACTTCCAAGTAGCTGGGACCACCGCACACACCACCATGCCTGGATAATTAGTTTTCTCAGTTTTTGTAGAGACACGGTCTCCCTATGTTGCCCAGGCTGGTCTGAAATTCCTGGGCTCAAGCAATTCTCCTGCCCCAGCCTCCCAAAGTGCTGGGATTATAGGCATGAGCCACCGCACCCAGCCTGGGTATATGTTTTTAAAATATTTTTCTAATTTCAACCAAGTTTTTGATAAGAACTGAACAGCAAACAATTAAAAATAAGAGCACTTTTGAATACTTGAAGGATGACAAATGTCTAGTTCATTAGTTGAAAGACGATTCATATGTGTTATGTAGTTTATGTACATAATTTTGTCTGAAAGTTTAATAAATTCATCTCTGAGTGCCGCTTAGCAGCACAGAAACTCTGAAGACTGTATTTCTAGAAAATAAGTCCTAAGCATAATCATTTACAAAACAATTGTCAAGAAATCTTTACAATGATAATGCTACTAAGGATACATTGTTATATCTAAAAAATGAGAAAGCAGTTTTAACGTGCCTCCTTGAATTCTTAAGTTGATTTTTCTTAAAGTAATACATATTTTTGTTTTAGGAACTGGAACAGTACAAAAGAAGTTCTTCCAAGTCTTGGAAACAAATCGAGCTTGATTCTTGAACCTAATTCAATTGTTGTATATTTATTTCTTCTTTTCTAAATACAAATAAGATTATATTATGAATTAACTATTGTGGCAATATGTGAAGAAAGTTCAACTGTATAATTTGTGAAAGAACAAGCTGGATTTCTTGGACTAGTGCTCTCCCTGTATATTTTGAAGCTTTTTAAAAGGAAAAAATATTGTAGAACCATGTGTAATTTTTTTTTAAATAAAAGAATCTTCTACTCCCTACCTCTAACATGTTTAAGTGGTATATACTCAATTCAGCATGTATAAGTTTCTGCTTATATGTTTTTAGGAATATAAAAGTAAGAGTATTTGGTTACAGTTTTAAATGCAAGGTTAAGTGCCCATGTTAGACACATTCTTTCTAAGAGGCGTTCTCAGCTGTAGCTGGGAGGAAACCGGAATTGGGTTCACAGATGTCAAAACTTTACTCTGAACAGTGAGGCGCAAGAAGCACCTGAAATAGGAGATGCACATTCCTGGGTCCCCACACCTAGAGAGTCACCATCTGTGGTCTGGAATGGGGTGTTTTTAATCATCACCCATTTCACCCCTCTCTGAGACTGACACATTTATTTTAAATACCACTTTTTGAAGAACAGGCACATTTAACGAGATATCCTATCAAGAAGCAGGACAAAACATCACGTGTTGGGGATAACCAGGATTATTTCCAAGGTGGGATAGCCTTTAAGAAGCCATTCCCATCTGTAGATCTGTGTACCTGCTAGCCAAGTTCATTTTGAGTAAGTATAATTGCTGTGATTAAAAATGATTTATTCTGTGTTCTTCCATATCCACACGTAAAATATGTTGACTCCCAGCTTCAGATAAACACATTTACTACCCCAAGGGAGTGGTGCCTGAGCAGATAGCAAGCCATCTGCTTATTGCAACGAACCAGGACTTCATAAATTATTTGCAGTATGTACGGTTCTCACACCCTTGAGAACAGAGTTTTCAGCATGTTTCCAAGGAACCTCAGTCTTAAGCACAGGTTTCTTGCTGAGTGCTATGGAAAAAGAGATCCCTTTAAATTTACAGTGAACATTATGATCTCAGAAACATCACTGACTTGGTGGGAAGAAACAGCCTGTTCCACAAGAGTAATAGGAATTGCTGTTATATACTTTGATTTTCTTACACATCACTGTCCATTTTTGACTTGAGACACAAACTGTCACATGTTGAAAGCCATTGTGTTTTTCTAAGGTGCTATCACTAACATTTAATAGCTTGAAGTCACGTGTGATGTCAGTTTTCCAAATGTTTCTGAGCTAGAATGAAATTCATCTGCATATGAATAGTAGAAAATGTTTCCACTTATGTTGTACACCCATATCTTTAGTAAGTTGAAATCAGTGATTTCAAAAGAGGTTCCTGTGGGACTCTCTTTGAACTACTGTAATAGATTATCATCTCCAGAATTGTCTATAACTGATGTGACATATATAATCTGTAAGACATTGTGTAACTATTACACCATAATCATCCATGTCAAAGACCTTTTATAAAAATTGACAATACTAGTCTGATAATTTACCAATGCCTCCACATCCTTAAATACTGTTCTGAGAAACAGAATTTTGCTGTAGTTTCCTTAATGAAATGATCTTTCCTACTTCAGTGTGAGACATTTCAAATGCTATAATTTATCTTTCTTCGCAAGTTAGGTCACAGTCAGTGAACAAGTTCATGCGCTCTCTACCATATTCTCACCCAAAGTTACCATAGTAACACTGAGACAGTTTCATTTCGGGTTCTTACATGGAATTACTTGAAGATCAATCAGAAACAGAATCAGATCAGTCATTTTAATAGAGAACCCAATTTTTTTTATTTTTTTTATTTTTTTGAGACAGAGTCTTACTCTGTCGCCAGGCTGGAGAGCAGTGGCACAATCTCAGCTCACTGCAACCTCCACCTCCCAGGTTCAAGCGATTCTCCTGCCTCAGCCTCCCAAGTAGCTCCTGCCACCACGCCAAGCCAATTTTTGTATTTTTAGTAGAGACAGGGTTTCGTCACGCTGGCAAGGATGGTCTCGATCTCTTGACCTCAAGATCCACTTGCCTCGGCCTCCCAAAGTGCTGGGATTACAGGCATGAGCCACCGCGCCTGGCCAGAATCCATTTTTAGTAACCTATTTATATTATTTTATCCTTGAAAATATGTAATACAGGTGTCTGTATTTATACATATCAGCACCCTTTACAGTTCAAGAATGTGAAATTTCTAGGGTGTACCCTGTTCTTTGTAAATAATATGTCAGCACTTTTTTTCTTTCTTTTTTAGAGACAGTGTCTCCCTCTCTCTGTTGCCCAGGCTGGAGTGCAGTGGTTCCATCATAGCTCACTGCAGCCCCTACCTCCTGGGTTCAAGCGATCCTCCCACATCAGCCTCCTGAGCAGCTGGGATTACAGAGGTGAGACACCATGTCTAGCTATGTCAGCATTTTTTCTATATGGACTTTAACAGCTGATCTTCAAACTTAACAAGGTTATTTCTCAGTGTATACACTTCAGTAACGTTTACTTGTAATTCTATAAGTAAACTCAGCTGAAAGTGAAAAGTAGCAAACGAATCTTTAAAAACATAACCAGAGGTTTGTCTGGTGTGCTTTGTTCACTGTTGAGCCCATTCCTACAGTTTTTTATTTGAATCCTCAGTAAAATTACTGGGTGCTCTGTAGCAGTGTTGCTCGCCATTCATCTGCCCAGCATTCTCTCGATGTGATCAGGTAACTCCGACCCCTCGTGTGGAGGGGTCTTTTAACTCTGGGTCTTCCAGGAACAGAAGCATTCTTACCCAATTCTGCATGATAACCTTGCTTCATCTAAACCCACAACTCTTTTTTTCTGTCACTTACAGTCAGTAATCCATCAAGCCTTTTACTTTTGCCTAATCCTTTATCAAATGTAAACATATTTTTAAGATGACCTATTTTTTTCTGTGCCTAGAACAAGGAAAAAAATAGTCACACGAGTCTCCCATAGCTTTATGAATGACTATTATTTAATTCTTGGGCCAGCTCAGTCACAATTTCCAAATACCACATGTCCCTGCAAGTTGTAACAGGAAGGGACTATGAACCACTTCCATTGCATTCAAGGCCTGCATGGATCCAAGAGGCACAAATAGAGTCTTAATGGTTAAAAGACCTGAGATGTCCTATCAAGAAAGAAATACATGGCACTCTCATTTCAGACATTCAGAGCAGTCATGCACAGTCAGCAGCTTCACTTCCATTTTCCCAGCCATGGTTTTCACTATCTGCTAATGAGATGATCCCTTATTTTGAAAACAACTATTCCTAGGATGACAAGAGCTGGAATAAATGAATACAAAATCAGAAAGTTCATTGTGAATCTAGATGTTGCACCTGGGCTGGTTTCCTCAATGAATTGAATTCCTTGAGTGAAGGCACACATTGGATTAGTCATCACAGAAACATTTGAGCTGCCTGTCAAGGAAAAGATTGACAGTATCAGGTGTGGTTTATCTCAGGTAATTTAATCAACAAGTATTTACCAAATGCTTGCTAAGTAGCCTTATTAATGAAAAATACAGGACACTTTAGCAAGCACAGAGTTTACAATTTGAAGAAGCAAGAGTGAGCAGTTCTGGCCTTTGGCCTCATTTGAAGATGGACATGCTTTTGTTTCTATTTTGAGTATAGATTAATTACCACATTTGTGATAAAAATCATGGTCCCTTAGCACAGGCTATCCTAAAGTTACTGACATTATCACTTAAAATTACTTAAAACACTACTGAATTCAGCCATATTATTTGGTTGTCTTTGGAGTGGCCCTGAGATTTTTTTGGTGGGTGGTTTTTTTTTTTTTTTTTTGAGACACAGTTTCACTCTGCTGCCCAGGCTGGAGTGCAGTGGCTTGATCTTGGCTCACTGCAACCTCACCCTCCTGGGTTCAAGTGATTCTCATGCTTCAACCTCCTGAGTAGCTGGGATTACAGGCATGCACCACCACGCCCGGCTAATTTTTGTATTTTTAGTAGAGACGGGGGTTTGCCACGTTGGCCAGGCTGGTCTCGAACTCTTGACCTCAAGTGATCCACCCACCTCGGCCTCCCAAAGTGCTGGGATTACAGGCATGAGCCACTGTGCCCAGCCACCGTGAGATTTCTAATGGCCATGAGGTCCTTGTCCTGGTCCTACTTCTGACTTTTGCCAAAAGTGGCTTTACTTAGCTGTGTACGATGTACATTTTGGGGAAAAAGAAGCCACTTCAGCCTGCTTGAATGTGTTCAGTAGATACAGAAACTGAGTCTATCCCGAATATACTGGAGTTTACCTCGGTGTACATAAGGTCTGTCATTTTCTAACAACATCCGAATGTCCCTTACCTGTTGACCTTTGACAGGAGACTAACTTGACTACTGCTTATTTTCTTTCATTTTAAAAATCAGAGAAAATGGACCGTATTTCAAGACAGAGTTTTAACTTGAATTATTATGAAACACAGCTTTTATTTCAAAAATACATTTCCTCCAATAAATTGCTTCCTCAGAGTAACATGCAAAAATAACATCCCCAAATAGAATACTTACCACAAGTGAAATTCAGTCCGTAGAACTCATTGACTAAAAGAATCTCACTGCAATATTTTTGGAATGTAAAATAACTGATGATTTTAAAAGGAATGGGCATTTCTTGTATGTTTCTTAAGAAAAAGAAAACAAAAATGAAATTCAGTGGGCTCTGGCAATAGTCCTACCAAATAAACAGAAAGGCAATCCTTATGTTTTCCAACATGAATATAGTTTTCTATCTCTTTATTGTAAAAATGATGCTCACTATAAAAAAAACCTTCAAACAACATTGAAAAATATAAAGAAATACCATTGCCTAGAAATAACTATTGTTAACATTTTGATAATATATATAACATATGTGTTTATAAAGTTTTATATAAGTGGAATTAAACTCTTCATGCTCTTTCCCAACCTACTCTTTCTGCCAAACATATGTCTCAGACATCCTTCCAAGTCAGTAAGCATAGTACTTTGTCATTTTTAGTCACAGCTTGGTAGCCTGTTATAGTGAAGACCTTAATTTAACAGTTCTCTCAAGTAGACAGTTACTGTCTAATTATTTTGGTAAGCACTATTGATATAAACATACAAGAAAATACAGACCTAACACATACCAATTGGAGGAGGAGATTTGTGATTACACAGAAAGTTGAAGGTACCAGTGTAGAAAGTTAGAACTAACCTAGAATACAAAGGAAAAAGGAAGGAGAGACCGAGCCAGCATTCATTGTGAAAATGTAATATGTCTCCACTCCAATCTATGTCAGGTGAAACTTTATGCTGACACTGTGGTCTTTTTAGTCCACCATATATTTCCTGTCAATCAAAAGATTTAAAATTCTTTCTGGTTGCAAGACACTAGTTCTAGGAGCTTGAGAACTTCAAAAGACGTATCCTATCCCTAAAGAACCCGTAATGTAGTTGGAGATATAGACTATATCCTTAAAATTATACAAATACACAGTAGTGAACTATTTGTGCCAAGAAAGTATTAAAATAAAATGTGTACCACACATCCGTGCTGTTCTTGTATTTAGTATTTATGGTTTCACTTATTTCCAAGTGGTCCTCAAACTTTCAGTTATTGTCAGTTTCCTAAGGCACAACATTGAATTAACCACATTGAGAGGTTACTAATTGAAAAGGATACGTGGGACTATGGAAAGGAATTAGGGGAACAGAAAGGAAATTCTAGGAAGGCAGAAATGGTATGAGTACAGGCATACCAAGGGCTGCATATTGGACTGACTGGACCAGAAAGACTGGAGGAGAGGATGTGAAGGAACAGTGGGACGGGAGCTCGGAACAATAGCCTGAGACAGCTATTTCAGGGCCTTGCCGTGAGTTTAGGTTGAATGACCATGAATGAGAAAGGTCACGTTGAAATCAGCATTCTGAGAAAATTAACTTGACTTCAGCAAGAAGGATGGCCAGAATGAGGGCAGGGTAAGAACAGAAAAAAAAAAAAAAAAGCAGACTCCAACAAAAGTTCAAGTTTGAGATGACAAAGGCCTGGAGTAGGATGATGGCCATGAGAGGGTGGCTGTCTAGTGGCTAGGGTGGTATCTTTTTGAGGTAGGAACCGTGCACCTTTGTTTCTGCCTATACCACATGGAGTCAAACAAAAATGTTCCAAATGCACCTATGGTTTGATATCAGAAAAGAAAACCAACATGATTTGGTGAGTGATGCAGTGTGTATACAGTTCAAAGACAGAGTCATTCACTGATTCACTCAACAAATAATGTTTGCAGGCCTGATGGTCCAAGGCCTAATTGGGCTGGCTGCTGAGAAGGTCTAAAATGATGAATGAGACACAGCTGCTGCCTTCAAGAGGCGGATAATCTATTACTGCAAAGGAAAACCATGACAGGAGGTAGCGTGTGATAGGCTGAGAGAGAAAACAAAGGGGGCCTTCAGAGAGAGTGTGCCTCTAGCCTTGGGAACAACCAACAAACTTTGTGCAGGTGGCAGAGAGAGACAAATGGATCAGTGAAAGGCACAGACAGAAGGAGAAGCAGCGGGAGGAACCATAGATCTAGATGTATTGACATGACATTGTCCACATTATGTTGGTTTGTGCTTTTTTGGTCTCTTTTTTTGAAACTGAGTCTTGCTCTGTCACATAGGCTGGAGTGCAGTGGCGCGATTTTGGCTCACTGCAGCCTCTGCCTCCTGGGTTCAGGTGATTCTCCTGCCTCAGTCTCCTGAGTAACTGAAATTACACGCACGTGACACCACACCCAGCTAATTCATATTATGTTGTTAAATGGGAAAAAATGTATGCATATTTTATATCTTATACAACAGGATGATTTCATCTTTGTTAAATTTTATATCAAATTCTAGCAAGAACTACATCAAAATTTAACTCTGGGCTCTGATACTTCAGGTAACTTTTACTTTCTTCCTCATCCATATTTATATTGTGAGCATTTCTTCCCCCAAGAACTTCATGCTTTTGTAAGCAGAAAAAACAGCAAAGCTAATTTCCTTCGTGTTTAAAGGAGAAGGGAGCCAACAGCACAAATGCCACAGGCAGTTCACCTAGAAAGATGATGACTGGGCAGGAAAATGGGTAAACGGAATGACTAGCAGGTTGATGTGGCCTTTAAGAGCAGAGTTTTAATTCAGTGATGGAAGTGGAATTCATGTGAAGCCTTGGGATGTTAAGATTTTGCAACTAATCTGAGAGCATTTAGTATTCTTTGCCACTGCCTACCTTTTAAGAGCAAATTAACCACCAGGCGCAGTGGCTCACACCTGTAATCCCAGCACCTTGGGAGACCGAGGCAGGGAAATCACTTGAGGTTAGGAGTTTGTGACCAGCCTGGCCAACTTGGTGAAACCTCATCTCTACTAAAAATACAAAAATTAGCCAGGTGTGGTGGCACGCACCTCTAATCCCAGCTATTCAGGAGGCTGAGGCAGGAGAATTGCTTGAACCCAAGAGATGGAGGTTGCAGTGAACCGAGATCGTGCCACTGCACTCCAGCCTGGGTGACACAGTGAGTGAGACTCTATTTCAAGAAACAAAAAAATAAATAAAGAGCAACTAACCTCCTTTTCCTAAAAACCCAATACAAATGCTGCTTATGATGGCATTACCTCCAGATAAATCCATCATAAGTTGAAAATATTATAAGTTAAAAATGCATTTAAGGCCAGACACGGTGGCTCACGTCTGTAATCCCAGCACTTTGGGAGGCCGAGGTGAGCGGATCACCTGAGGGCAGGAGTTCAAGACCAACCTGGCCAAAATGGTGAAACCCCATCTCTACTAAAAATACAAAAATTAGCCAGGCATAATGGTATGTCCTGTAATCCCAGCTACTCGGGAGGCTGGGGCAGGAAAATCACTTGAACGTGGGAGGCAGAGGTTACAGTGAGCCAAGATCATGCCACTGTACTCCAGCCTGGGTGACAGAGTGAGATTCCCTCTCAAAACAAACAAAAAACAAAACAAAAACACATTTAGGACACCTAGCCTAGCAAACATTACAGCTTAGCCTGGTCTGCCTTAAATGTGCTCAGAACACTTAACATTAACCTACAGTTGGGAAAATTCGTCTAACACAAAGCTTATTTTATAATAAATTGTTGAATATTTAATGTAATTTATTGAATCCTGTTCTGAAAGTAAAAAACAGAATGATTGTATGCCTACTCAAAATACAGTTTCTAGGCCTGTTGCGGTGGCTCATGCCATGTAATCCCATGTAATCCCAGCACTTTGGGAGGCCGAGGTGGGCAAATCACTTGAGGTCAGGAGTTCGAGACCAGCCTGGCCAACATGGCAAAACCCCATCTCTACTAAAAATACAAAAATTAGCCAAGCATGGTGGCACACACCTGTAATCCCAGCTATTCAGGAGACTGTGGCACGAGAATCGCTTGGACCTGGGAGGCGGAGGTTGCAGTGAGCTGAGATAGCGCCACTGCAGTTCAGCCTGGGTGTAGAGTGAGACTCCGTCTCAAAAAACACAGAAGCAAAATACGGTTTCTACAGAACGAGTATCACTTTCTCAAAAAATCGTAAGTCAGGGATTATCTGTACATGAAATGGCACCAGATTAACTGAAACAATGATTCAAATAATATAAAAGAGGAGATGCTGCCCAAGGTTGGCTCTGTACATTGCTGGCTTGACTCTTGGCGTGATTTGATTTCTGCATTTTTCATAAATATTAACAATCCACTTAAGCAACATGGACAAATACAATGTAATGGTCTTAGTGTGAAAAAAATCCTCCTTGATTGATCAAAGCCTAGTTCACTTTGCTTTATATAATATCTCACCTTCATATAACTCACTACAATTTATAATGTGTTTTCACATTGATTATTTTCTTTCCTTCTCATGATCCCTTGAGGTATCATGGCGAGGCTGAAATAGTGATCTCTTTTTTGTAAATGAGGAAACTAATTTAGGTAGAAAAGAGACTGGCAAGTGGTAGAGGAAGTTTCTGACTCAGGTCAGCCTCTCTCAGGAAGTCACATGCATCACAGCCTTCATAGTGGTGTGACTTGAGCAAAGTCAAGTCTGAGCTTCATTTTCTTTTCTGAAAATGGATTGCTCTGAGAGTTAAATAATTAAACACACACACATATAATTTTATATAGTAGACGCTCAGTAATGTTTTTGCTTTTTGACTTGAGTTTTAAAAGTTTAAGTCAAAGAAACAGCCTTCATGTTTCCTTGGGGACCCAGGGATTACTTACTAGATCCCACTCATACCACCTGCCTGGGATCGTTTTTTAGCCTTTTAAAATTTTCTGCCCTTTTTGCTGCTGCTTTTTAAAAACGTGTGTGGATGCATTTTTTCCTGGTTATAAAATGATACTTGTCCATTATAGAACATTGATAAAATACGGAAATATGAAGAAAAAATTAAAATCAATATCACCTAGAGATAATTACTGCTATCATTTGGTGCATGTCCTTTAAGCCTTGATACTGTTTGGAGCAGTCTTTTATCCTGCAGGCTCTTTTTTTTATCTGACTAGTCTTAATTCCTAAGAATAACTGGGAATTGAGAACTGCAGTACAAAATCAACAGTACCAGGTCAGAAATGAACTAATATATGCAATTTATTTCGCCTGTCACGTGGGCTGTGAGTTTTTCCTGGAACATCTGGACTGGTTTTCTTCTCTTGGTATAATGGCTTATTACATGTGAATCATATCATAACATAAACTTGTCAGTTCCTGATTCCCAATAAAAAAGACATTTTATTGGACAAATGAACAGTTCAAGGTCTAAGGCAATAATGATTAACGAGCAGTACAAATGCTCCAGACTATAAGCATATCCAGACATAACCACTATCAGTTCTCTGGTATTCCTTTACTTCAGTCATTATTAGGTGATCATTAATAACAGGTTATCCCAATCTACATTTTTTGAATTATGATATCTTACCTGACGAATCCAGATCCAATAAGCACCCCCGCAATGGACAGCAGAGCCACTACACTGTTGACTATATTTGGATTTTGGATGATACCAAGTAGCACAAGAGTTAGAAATTCACCAATTAAGTGGGGGGCCAAGAGAGCAGCAGAGAAATATCCAAATCTGGCAACCTCAGGATGTAAGCCCAGCGTCCTAGAAAAGCATAAGCTCTTCAGTTTCCTCTCCAAGGGCTATCATTTAAGAAAAATACTGTGCTTGCCTCTATGAATAAACCCTTGGTAGTGAGTGGGTGGGAGGCGTTTGCAGGGCAAGCCACACTCCCCTTTGAAAGGTCTTTTTGGAACAGAGCCAGCATGAGACTATTTATTACATCAAATTGTTCCCATTGGCTGCAATTCATTGGGAGCCACCTTTTCCCTTTCACAGCTCCTTCAGCTCTCATAGGAAAACATTAAATTACTTAGACAATGGTCACAACTCACTGCAGGAAGCAGGCTTGTTGAACTCTACAGGCTTCTTCATAAATAACCATGTTCTGCCTAGCCAGCACCACACCTACCTTAATGTTAACGGGCTCACCCAACCCGCCTCCCGGCACCCCTTGCCTGAACTTCATCTCTGTTCTGTGGGATTATTGCCTGTGTGAAAACCCCTCACTTCTTGTGTCCTCGATCAGGTTAGCCCTCCCCAGGCCTACTCCATTCCATTCTTGTCTTTTATTCTACCAACCCCTTCCACTGATTTGACCTTCGTTTTCTTTTTTGAGACAGAGTTGCACTCTGTTGCTCAAACTGGAGTACATTGGCTCATTGCAACCTCTGCTTCCCGGGTTCCAGTGATTCTCCTGCCTCAGCCTCCCAAGTAGCTGGGATTACAGGTGTGCGCCACCACACCCGGCTAATTTTTTTGTGTTTAGTAGAGATGGGGTTTCGCCATGTTGGCCAGGCTGGTCTCGAACTCCTGGCCTCAAGTGATCCACCCACCTCAGCCTCCCAAAGTGCTAGGATTACAGGCATGAGCCACCGTGCCTGGCCTGACCTTCGTTTTCTGGCAAACAAACCACCCTATATCCATGCACCTTTCCTCTTCTATTCCTTTCTCCAAATTACATTTCCCTGGTGATAGCATGTCTTCAATGACCATTAGGCATGGCTGCTCTTTATCCCATTTGTAGAGTAAGCAGAAAAGGTTGGCGTGTCTTATACTCACCCCTCCTTACCACTTCCTCTTCAAGGCCATCTACTTTTCCTCTGTACAAATCATGAAGTTTGCCTATGCTATCAATGCCATTCCTCGTTGTTGTCTTCTGTGATGTTTAAAACATCCTCTCACCTTTGATTATTTTATAGCATCTGGACCAGAGTCATTCTTTCTGCTCCTCTCCACTATCATTTTCCTCAAGCTCTTTAACCTTCTTGATGAGCCATCCACATCAGTGGTTCCTAATTAGCTAATCTCAATTCCAGTGGCTCCAGCAACCTAATCTTCATCACTCACCGTGTCTTGGACTTAAATATCACTCAAAACGGTTCCACTCCCAGGATTTCAGAGTCTGAGGACACCCTCTCTGATGATGGCCTCCTGCCTCTCACTTCCCCAGTGCCCTCACTGCCACAGATGCTGGGCCCCTTCTGCCATTCTTTGCCTTATCAGTTCCCACATCTGGGGACCCTATTCTCCCTTAAGCAATGGAAGGTATGCTGGACAATGCCTATTGCCGCACTAACTGGATCCCCTCTGCCATCTTGCCTCAGCTGGCCCCTGGACCCCTAAGATTTCCTCATTGTGTCTTGAGTTCTAATAGCACGTCCCATTATGACTGATATAAACCTCTACTTTAAAATTTCCCCTCCCCAATTGCAATCTCTCTCCCCAGTGCTCAGCAGCTGAATCCACCTTCCATTTTATGAATTTCTTGATATCTTCATCATCTCTATTTTTCATTCTCTCTCTCCCCCTCTCTCATCCCACACCCCATCTTTGAAAGTGTGACCCTAGCTGCTTGCATCCTTGATCCCATGTTATTGATTCCCCTATCCCTACCTTGGTCTACTCTGGAAACTTCCTCTTTGACTTATCCAAATTTTGACTGCATTTTCATCTACTCTCAATCTGATGTTTTTTGATGGTCTTATCTACCACATGCTAAAACAACCATTTTTTGAACTTGATCATGATTAAAGTAACTGCCCCTTTCATCCTACCCTGTAACACCAAGTTTCTCAAAACAGTATCTGCTTCCTCCATCTTACACCTTACCTTCTTGTAAACCTGACTTACACCCCCATGACTCTACCAAAGCTTTTTTTTGGAAAATTGCAATGGCCTCCTCCCCTTATGCCTCACCTCCTTTAACCCCTGCAATATCGAAGTGTTTACAACACTTCCTTGAAACTCTATCCCTCCTCATCCTCTCTGATGCTGCCCAATCCTGCTTCTCTTTCTGCCTCCCTGATCACCCTCTGCCGCCTCTATTGGCTTGCTGTCCTCTTCCCACCCTCGAATGTGTCAGTTTTAAGGTTTTACACTCAGGCTGTTTTCTCCCTGCCCCTGGGCCCCCCATGCACCTGGGTCCCAGCCACTTCAGAGCCCTCTTCTCTGGCCCAAGCCCTGCCATGAATGCGGGACAGGCCATTCCCAGGCATGTGTCGTCTTGTTGGTTTGTTCTCAGGTCTCCCCCAGCCCACAGTTGGGCTATTTACAATAACATTAATGTCCTGGAAGATAGGACATTGCACTAGACACTGATGGGCAAAGTGTAGATCCTCCAGAGCAGAGAACTTCACCCTGGAGCTCTCCCTGCATAAGTCCCACTAGCTCCATGACTCCATGGGAGCCCGGCCCTGGGTGAACAGAACAACCCCTCACCAGTAGCACACACTGCTGAAAATCATCGTGGCAATGACACTGAAGGGGAGGACGTGCAGCACGTAGGCCAGCAGCATCTGCCACTTCTGGTAGACGCCATCCTGACTCTCCTGGTCGCTGACAGCTCGCAGCACAGGAACTGGGAATGGAAGGCAGGTTTCAGAAGTCAGTCACCACCCAGCTGAAAGAGGGAGGGCTAGCCCAAGCTGAACGTGAGGTCTGTCAGGGCTGGATGGTGAGGACCAGCTAGGGGGAGTTCCCTAGTCATAGAAGGAGGGGACCTGCCATCCACAGGACAATAAATTTCCACCCCAGAAATCTACACTCTACCTGAATTGCAATACAATTGCAAAAGATGTCATTTATTTCCTTCTCTCTAAACTGAGGAGTTGTCACCAATTCAAGAAAAGTACATGCAAAAGGGGCATGAATAAGTGATTTGAAGCATTTTGTCTCCTTTCTGTGCAGGACTCCCCCCGGCCCGCCCCGCCCTGCCCCTGCCACCAGCAGCCTGCATTTTAGACTTGCTCTCAGAAGGCCAGGCAAACCCCACAGATGCAGACACTTAGCATTGCCCCTCATGTCAAGCTCTAGGGCAACTTCACAATAGCAAAGTCCTTCCGTCTTTTTTTTTTTTTTTTTGAGACGGAGTCGCTCTGTCGCCCAAACTGGAGTGCAGTGGTCGGATCTTCGGATCTCAGCTCACTGCAAGCTCCGCCTCTCGGGTTTACGCCATTCTCCTGCCTCAGCTTCCCCAGTAGCTGGGACTATAGGCGTCCGCCACCTCGCCCGGCTAGTTTTTTGTATTTTTTAGTAGAGACGGGGTTTCTCCGGGTTAGCCAGGATGGTCTCGATCTCCTGGCCTCATGATCCGCCCGTCTCGGCCTCCCAAAGTGCTGGCATTACAGGTTTGAGCCACCGCGCCCGGCCAAGTCCTTCCGTCTTATTCCCTAACAGTGTTGCCTTTGGGGAATCCCTCTAACGCCAGCTTCCTGCAACGTTAGGCAACCAGGTGTTGTCTCTGGAATTCCACTGAATTTGAAAATTAGGTGCTGGCTGTCCTAAAACCAGCTCCAAAAAGAAGCTAATGGCACACAGTTGGCCTGGTCGCTGAGCCCCCATGGGCCGTGCATTCGAGGTGGCCAAGATGAGATAGGAGGAATGATCTTTTGAAAAACTCCTCAAACTCTCGCCACCAGTGCATTGTCACTTCATGTTTCCCTGGATCCTTAGCCCTCAGAGAGATCCACCTGGTGAGCTCATTCATATTAATGTGTTGGTAACTCAATAGTTGCCTTTCCCCAGAGAGGGAATCCGGAGAGGGCCGGGTTGAGCTCAGAGAAATACCCTTATAATGGTGGACTTTTGTAAGGTTACAGCTGGAGAAGGGAGGTGTTTAGGGAGAAAGAGGTGCACCTCCAGCACGTGGGCACTTACACAGATTCACAGCGTTGAGCATGCCTGTGTACGGGGTGGAGCCCACAAACATGTAAAGGAGACCCACGCGGTCCTGGATAGCACCATTTAGCACATTGTTCTGGACCCGCAGAACGAAGAAGAGGAGGAACAAACCCATGGTCAGATTCTGAAGGAGACGCATCATCACTGCCAGCTTATTTCTCACCAAGTTTCTTGTCACTCTCCTGAAAATAAACAACCCTGTTTTAATTCCTTTTCAGAACTGTTATTGGGGGATGGCTAAAGACCTCCAACGGGCATTGCTCACATTTGTGAGCCTCTTACCTCAGGAGAACGCCCAGTTTGGAGAAAACTCCGGGAGAATCTTTGGTTTTGAAAGGAACCATCGGTAATGTTTTCAGGTGTTTCGTTCTTTCAATATTCTCCAAAGTTTTATGACAAATTGCTGATTTCTTGTAGGCAGATTCTATCATCTGGACTCTCTTGTAGGTTTCTATTTCCCTTTCCTTGCTTTGGGTATCCACTGACGTCAGGTCCACTAAAAATTTTTCCCAAAAGATGTCACCCATGTGTTTTTAAATGCATGCATGCACATGGATATACAATTAGTACAGGAGTACTGGCCATAATACCTCATCCCATCAAGGTAAAATTTGTGGTTAATGCCCACCTATAAAATCAGAATACTTTAAAGCATCCCAGCAGGGCCTTGAGGATCCCACTGGGATTATCTGGGAGAATTCCCAAGCTCAGCTAATTATGCTCTGATAAAGTAGTAGCAGTGCGCCAATTTGTTTGAGAGAGATCCCCGATCTCATTCTGATAGTCATCTTTGGCAAGTTAATTGACCCGGCCAAATTAATTCCTTGAAGAATATAAAGCACAAAAACAAAAGCAAAAATCAAACCCACTAGAGCTCATGTCATCCAGGCAGAAGTCTGAGATGAGACAGTTTAAAAAACATTCATGATGGGGAATGTGAAAGAAAAACTTACTATAGAAGTCAAAAGGGTTTGAATGTTCAGGACAAGGGTAACCGCAGTCACTGAAGAAATCAAGCATTTCCACTGGTGTGCCACAGAAAATCAGCTCTCCGAAGCTCAGGATGGCAATTTTGTCAAAGAGCTGATCAGACAACAGACGAAGTTAGTGTGTGATCACAAGGGTAGCGATGCACTTCAAATGTCTCCGGGAACACTGATGCAGGCCCAAGGTCAAGTATTCCTTACAGTCGCCATGTCCTTATGGGAAATGCATTTCTAAGCAGTCAGTCCTTCGATGACCTTGGCCCTGCATCAGTATTCTTGGAGACATTCGAAGTGCATCGCTACCCTTGTGAGCCTAGGCTACCACTGTGGGTCACGCTGCCTCCCATCCTGAGGTCCAGCTTCATATCTGGGAGAGACAAGCATGACTGAACCTGCGGTTAAGTCCCAGCCAAGCCAAGTGAGTGACCTCGGGCGAGCTGGGGTGGGTCTTAGTTTGTTGTTTTGTTTTCATTTTAAATCTCGGCTCCTCCTCTATAAAAAGCAAATAAAAGCTAACTAAAGGGATACTGGGCAGAGAAAGTGAGATTTTTTTGGAAGGAAATCTGTATGATTTCATGGAAAAACACAGCCTTTGAAGCCAACTTGGCTGTGAAAGCCTAATGCTAGCTTTTTACTATTAATAACTGTGTGATCTTGGCTCAATTAGTTGTTGTTGTTTTGTTGTTGTTATTTTTGAGATGGAATCTCACTCTGTCACCCAGGCTGGAATGCAGTGGCATGATCCCGGCTCTCTGCAACCTCCTGGGTTCAAGTGATTCTCCTGCCTCAGCCTCCCGAATAGCTGGGATTACAGGTGCACACCACCACGCCCAACTATGAAGTTTGAATCATTGCTAAGTTTCACTCTTTTCCTCCGTAAGGTGAATATCCTGAAACACACCTCATGGGAGTGTTGTGGAGATGAAATGAGCTATGTATAGAAAGTATCTGGAACATGGTAGGTGCTGAAAGAAGTGAATTTTCATCCTTTGCTCTTTCCCTTTCAGGAGCTGTTGTCTCCAATTGCTCTAGTACTAATTTTGTTTGTTTGTTGGTTGGTTGGTTGGTTTGAGATGAGGTCTTGCTCTGTCACCCAGGCTAGAGTGCAATGGCATGATCATGACTCACTGCAGCCTTAACCTACTGGGCTCAAGTGATCCTCTCACCTCAGCCTCCCAAGTAGCTGGGACCACAGGTGTGCACCACCATGCCTGGCTAATCTTTCTTTTTCTGTCTTTTTTTTTTTTTTTTTTAAAGAGATGAGGGGGGTCTCACTTTATTGCCCAGCCTGGACTCAAACTCCTGGCCTCAAGTGCTCCTCCTGCCTCAGCCTCCCAAAGTGCTGGAATTACAAGTGTGAGCCACCGTGCCTGGCCACTGGTACAAATCTTACCCCTGCCCCTGCGATTTCCAGCTCAATACACCATAGACCCGGCCTTTACGAGTTGAATCCCTTACCTGAAAAAGCTCAGAACGGGGCTGGTGAATGGTGAGAACCACAATTCGGTTCCTGCGAGCCAGTTCCACCAGGAGGATGACAATCTGATTAGCAGTCATGCAGTCCAGGCCTGTGGTCGGCTCATCAAACAGCATGACCTCTGCCAGCAAAGAAGGGCCAGACTTCTGAGGCACTGCAGAGCCCAGGCTCTGTGCTTAAAACTCGGAGTTCTGAACTGTTCCTTATTGAGCTTGCACCACATCCAAACAGTGTGCAGTGGGAAGGAAACATGTAAACTAGCTTTCAGCCTGAGCTCAGGAGAAAGCACCTGCTGTGGAGGGGCCTAGTTCCCAGCTCTGGAGCACATGTGGGGCTCAAATCCTCGAGGGTACAGGGAGTAAGGAGATCAGGCCTCTTATAGGGTACTATGGGCCATCTGCGCTCTGCTCAGGGCACCCTGCCAGAGAACAACGGCTGGCAGGCTGGCATCAAGTTGTTTTAAAACAAGACTGAGAGGAGGCTGGTCAAAAAGACAACCCCATTTCATGTCTGTAACACTTTCCAACACCAGCAGGGTCTTTGCACAGAAAAGAAAAAAAATCTGACCAGTAAAACAAGGTCTGAAGTGTGGCAGGCATTTGGGTTCTTTAGAGGGTTTAAAGTAACTTATTTCTACCTATACAGTGACAAGGGGGCCGGGCGCAGTGGCTTACGCCTGTAATGCCAACACTTTGGGAGGCCGAGGTGGGCAGATCACCTGAGGTCAGGAGTTTGAGACCACCCTGGCCAACATGGTGAAACCCTGTCTCTAGTAAAAGTACAAAAATTAGCCGGGTGTGGTGGCGGGCGCTTGTCATCCCAACTACTCAGGAGGCTGAGGCAGGAGAATCACTTGAACCCAGGAGGTGGAGGTTGCAGCGAGCCGAGATTGCACCACTGCACTCCAGCCTGGGGAACAAGAACAAGACTGTCTCAAAAAAAAAAAAAAAAAAAAAGTGACAAGGGCTCTTAAAAACATCTCTCTTATTTGCCTTCTAGTGACCAAGCACCATCTGAAGAACAGGCAGTCCTGGTCTACCACAGTGCAAAGAAAGGATCCAGATGCAGTTTGTCCTCTCCAGCTGCATATGAGTGGCGAGGTTTCCCCAAGTGATGGGGAAAATGACCAAACCAGGCAGAGGATCGACTACTCTGTTTTGATACTCCCTTCCCCACAACATACACACTTTTGAGTTTATCGTTCAAATTCCTATTTTAATTCCTGCCATTTCATGAACACCTGCGGTCATACCAAAACTCACTGGCTCTCCCCAGCCCACACAGTGGTATTCCCCTGGTGAGGAGAAATGATTGGCAGGGCAAGGCTCCGTGTTCATGGAAAATCCCAATGGAACACTCCAACACCAATGCAACGCTTCCGGGTCCAGGAGCTGTTTTGTTTGGATGATGGAATCACATCAGGAAATGAACTATACAGCATTTCTGAAAAAACTGGGTCCCCAATTTGAAAAATCTATGATTTCAGTTGCACACAAACCCCTTTCCGAATGAGGACTGTGAAGACAGGGCCCAAAGTATCTGCAGACACACAGAAGATGTCCAGACAGCAACTAGTAACAGATCTGGGTGCCACTTACTGGGATCCTGGAGCAGCTGGGCTGCGATGGAGACCCGGCGCCGCTCACCAGTGGAAATGCCCCCCAAGTTGTAGTTGCCAATCAGTCGGTCTGCCACATGACTCAGACTCAGCTCTGCCATGATGGCCTCCACCTGCAGGAGACACAAATTACAGGAAGGCTAGGCGTGGCTGTGGGTGCTATTTCAATTCATGGGCTGGGGAGGACATGAAAGAGGCAGCACACCCCCCAAGAATCCAAGGGCCACTTCCAGACTCACCACACCCTGGAGAAAGCACGTCTTTGATAATAATATGATCCAATTTGACTTAAATCGTAATATAATACATGTGTCAGATTTAAATAAATGATATGCATTTTTTAAAATGTTCCCAGAGGCTGGGTGCAGTGGCTCATGCCTGTAATCCCAACACTTTGGAAGGCTGAGGAGGGGAATTGCTTGAGGACAGGAGTTTGAGACTAGCTTGGGGAACAAAGAGAGACCCTGTTTCTACAAAAAAAGAAACAATAAATTAGCCGGGTGTGCTGGCACGTGCCTGTAGTACCAGCTACTCGGGATGCTTAGACAGGAGGATGGCTTGATCCCAGGAGGTTGAGACCACAGTTAGCCATGATGGCACCGCTGCACTCCAGCCTAGGCGACAGAGCAAGACCCTGTCTCCAAAATAAAATAAAATAAAATAAAATAAAATAGGCCTGGCATGGCGGCTTGTACCTGTAATCCCAGCAGCACTTTGGGAGGTCGAGGTTGGTGGATCACTTGAGGTCAGGAGTTCGAGACTAGCCTAGCCAACATGGTGAAACCCCGTCTGTTCTAAAAATACAGAAATTAGCTGGGTGTGGCGGCGGGCACCAGTAATCTCAGCTACTCGGGAGGCTGAGGCAGAGGAATTGCTTGAACCCAGGAGGCCAAGGTTGCAGTGAGGCAAGATGGCGCCACTGCACTCCAACCTGGGTGACAGAGCAAGACTCCGACTCAAAAAATAATAATAATAAACAAATAAAATAAGATTCCCTAGAACAAAAACTGCTTACACTTGCTTCAGGAAAATTAGCCAGGAAACAACGGATACTTCATTAAACTCCTATTTGCAGGAGCCACAGTCACTGCAGCCCATACAGAAAAATCCCCCAAAGTCATGATTACAATATCACTTACTTTAAGTGTTTGGGTTTAGAAACTTTATTATCATAAATGCTTTATATGTTTAAAAAAATCCAACCTGATTTGAACTAAACCTGTTTCCCACTGTATAACCCAAATAAGTGCTGGGGTCCCGTGTGGTACAACCTCCGTGTGATTTCGCATCAGAGACATATAATCCAGCCTTCAGAAGCAATTAAAAATAATTCCAATCTTTATTTGAATGTATTTAAGGACTTTAAGGGGAACCCAATTTATAACCCCCAGCCACATCTAAAATCCCCTTTCTTCCAATTCTCTTCACTCTACTTAAACCCTGCAGCTCCCTGAAACCCTTTTTCCTCCTCATTCTCAACGCCCCCAAAACAATAACAACTAAAAAAAATTCTTTACTGACTTTCTAATCAAGAAGCTTGGCTTTTTTTCTCCCTCTCTGTCTTTCCTTCCCCAGCTTATCTCCTCTCCAGAGACCTGTTCACAAATCTGTTTCTGTCCTCCCGTACTGATTACCTCTATCTGCAGAAACCCCAGGGGGAAAGCAGAAAGAGACAGAAGGTACTCATATGGTAATGAGTTTTGTTTCCAGACACCCCTAATAAAGCTGTGTTATGAAAATGGAAACAAAACCATTGCATTAAAAAACAATAAGCTAGATTGCAGAAGAAGAGGGAATGACTTGTGGACCTACATTCAAGAGGAGTCAGGGAGTGGGGTTGACACCTTAGAGGTAGCTTTGACCTACCCAAAGAATGGACATGTCTGAAATAGGTACAAAGGAATAACGAGAAGGTAAAAAATTCATAAATAAACTAGCATGATATATTCTGGAAAAAAAGAAAGGTCTTCTCTTGCCATCAGGGTAGCAGGATCCTGGAATTAAGCTTTGCTTGACACTGTGAGATTTCTGTGCTCACCAGCCAGGGTAGATTTCTGAGCCTCCTTCTAGAATGTCTCTATAACATCATAAGGAGTAAGCTTGCCCCTCCTGGCTTGGAAGGGATGGACAGAGAAGACATTTACTTAATTTGTCTCAGAGGTTTCACACCCCAGCAGCAATGCTCTCCCATATTTTGGAAACACTGTTGGAAATGGAATTCAGAGTCCTTGTAAGGAATATTGTAAGGACCTTGTAAGGATCATTGGGATGATCAAGTCCAACCCTCCATGCTCTGTGCTTTCACATAATCTGATGTATTCCTCACATCAAACCCAGCAGAAATGCATTCTTACTGTATTTTTATAGAGGAGAAAACAGAGAGAGGTCCATAACTTGCCCAAGATAATGCCACTAGCAAATGGCAGGGCCAGGATTGAGAGGACGGTCTGGGCTCTCTCAAGCGGTCCAAGAAGCCTGAGCCTTAGCCAACAGCCCCGCAGACACAGCCTGCTCACATTGGCCATGCTTTATTTCCAGGTTCTTCCATGGACAGAAGCAGATCTGCCATGCTGTCTCCTTTATTATAATCAGCACTTCCTTCCCACTGAATTACTTGTCAGGATTTTACACGCTGTGGGCTGGATTTGCTCAGAAAAGACTCACAATTGGAGAGAACTCTGCTATCAGGAGTTCTCCTGCTCCCAGGGAGCTGTGCCCCTTGAAGGAGGCATGTCCACCTGTCATTGGTTCCCTGGGTGCTTGTGGGCCTTTCCAGTCTAGAGAGAAATGAAGCAGTTTCCAGGTAAGGTCCCCGGTGGGTTTACTTGTGACTGCTTCCAAACTGGAGACCATTAAGAAAGAGATTGGAACCTAGAAGGAGTTGACAATTCATTCGTTTCTTCCTTCATTAACTCAGTCCAGTTTGGATGAGGCATGTTCAAGATGTCTCCAAGCAAGCTGAGAAAAATCAGTGGCAAAAATAACTATATCTATTCAAAAACAAAACAAAACAAAATAAAACAAAAAACTATATCTGCTCAAACAGGGAACTTGTAGAACAGCATGGTCCCAGAGAAGGGTAGTGCAAGCCACAGACAGAAGTGAAATATTTTAGTAGCCATATTTTGAAAAGTAAAAAGAAACAGGTGAAATTTTAATAACATATTATTTACAGCCAAAAATACCATTTCAACCTGTAATCAATACTTTTTGAAATTTGTTTATTTATTTATTTATTTGGTTGGTTGGTAAAGACAGGGTCTCCTTTCGTCCTTCAGGCTGGAGTGCAATGGTGCAATCATAGCTCACTGCAGCCTCTACCTCCTGGGTTCAAGAGATCCTCCTGCCTTAGCCTCCTGAGCAGCTGGGAGTGCAGGCGCACAACACCACACCCAACTAATTTTTGTATTTTTTGTAGAGACTGAATCTCGCTATGTTGCCCAGGCTGGTCTCAAACTTCTAGACTCAAGAAATCCTCCCGTCTTGGCCTCCCAAAGTGCTGGGATTACAGGTGTGAGCCCACCCTGCCAGACCTAAAAATTCTTAATGGGTTTTTTCACATTCTGCTTTTCTCAGACTCAGAGTCTGAAATCTGATGTGTATTTTGCGCTCAGAGCACGTTTCAGTCTGGACTAGTGACATTTCAAGTCTTCCAAAAGCACATGTGACTAGGGGCTGCCCTCTCAGGCAGCACAGGGTACACGGTGCAAGGCGCAGGGCGCGCTCTAGAGTGAAGGAGTGTCGAGCAAAGGGGAGTAATGGGCAAGCGTAGGCGAAGAGAGGAGGGCAGCGGGGGGTGCAAAGGTACTCAGTTTGCCTGCTGTGAGCGGGGGGCTGCACCCACCTTCTGCTGGAAGAAGCCGGGGTTGCCGCGGCGGATGGCCAGCAGCGCGGTGTAGCGCAGCGTCTCGCGCACGGTGAGGCTGCTCAGCAGGGTGTCGCTCTGCAGGAGACTCCGGCGTCAGTGTAGCCCGAGCCCCCGGGGCGGGCGGGTGGTCAGGGGTGTAGGGGACGCGCCCACCTGCAGGACGTAGGAGAAGCAGTCCTGGAACTGCTCCCGGCGCAGCGTCCGGCCGTTCACATACACCTCCCCCAGGAAGGTCCCCGTGCGCCGCAGCCTCCCGGACATGGCGTCCAGCAGCGTGGTTTTCCCGGAGCCTGTGGGGCGACAACAGAAGGCCCTGGGGGAACCCCTCTATGCCGGCCTTGGAGGAGCTTCCCGAGACCCTCTGTGTGGGCATGACCCCGCGTGCCAGGAGTGCTACGTGAGGGATCCTGTTCTAGGTATTAAGGATACAACAGGATACAGGCCCTGCCCTGTAGAACGCGCACTGTGCATGCAGCAGTCTCACGCGCAAATGAGTCTCTGGATTGTTCCCTGAGTGAGAGGGGACATGCCATTTCTTTCATCTGGGTCAAGACCGAAGGTGCTTTCTCTGCTTGTTCGTTTGCCTTTAAAACTGTTTTGGATTGAAAAACAAAATACCTATAGGTATCAGAATAAGAGGAAAGCCAAGACTCTTGGAAACGTTTGGATCCTAGGACGGATTTCTTTTTGTGGCCCCCCTGGGGCGGTCTGGTTGTACCTGGATGTATGTGACATTGTCTAGAGCCTTGCTCACAAAGCAAGGAGCATCAGCAACCCCTGAGAGCTTGCCAGAAATGCAGAGCCCCAGGCCCCACCCGCGACCTGCTGAGTCAGATCTGCTTCAGTCGAGGTTGAGAAGCACTGGCTTGGTAAGTCCTTTGGTAAAACCAAGTTGGCCACAGCCTACACTAGAGCCTGGGGCACAGCCTAGCTGGATGTCACTAGGAAGGTTCCCACAGAGGGGTTGTGGTGAACTGCCTGCCTGCTGGAGGTGACTGCGGGATAATGCTTGCCTTGGTTTGCTTTTTTCTTTCTTTCTTTCTTTTTTTTTTCTTTTTGAGTGAGACTGAGTCTCGCTCTGTCACCTAGACTGGAGTCCAGTGGCACCGTCTCGGCTCACTACAACCTCCACTTCTCAGGTTCAACCCATTCTCCTGCCTCCACCCCCTGAGTAGCTGGGATTACAGGCATGCACTGCCACACCCGGCTAATTTTTGTATTTTTAGTAGAGAGGAGGTTTCACCATGTTGGCCAGGCTGGTCTCAAACTCCTGACCTCAGGTGATCCTCCCGCCGCAGCCTCCCAAAGTGCTAGGATTACAGGCGTGAGCCACTGCTTTGTTCTAAGGTTAAAGGTTAGGTGATGCCCTTAGACAACAGCCTGATGACCCCTCAGTCATACTGGACACAAGTTTACCACAGACCCAGAGTTCATGGAGACAGAATAGACCTCCCAGGCCTTTCCTATCCAAGGAGGCTGAGAAGTTGGGATTCATAACAGAGAAATAGGCAGGAAGTTCTCAACTATCTGGGAAGATAGCAAGAGAAATCTGCTGATGAGATGGCTGTGCAGAGTCAAAGAGATCTTTTGTTGAAATATTATTATTATTATTATTATTATTATTTTGAGACAGAGTCTTGCTCTGTTGCCCAGGCTGGAGTGCAGTGGCACAATCTCAGCTCACGGCAACCTCCGCCTCCCAGGTTCACGCCATTATCCTACCTCAGCCTCCTGAGTAGCTGGGACTACAGGCGCAAACCACCATGCCCGGCTAAGTTTTTTGTATTTTTAGTACAGATGGGGTTTCACTGCATTACCCAGGATGGTCTCAATCTCCTGACGTGATCTGCTCACCTCAGCCTCCCAAAGTGCTGGGATTACAGGCATGAGCCACTGCACCCGGCCCTTTATTTATTTATTTATTTATTTATTGAGATGGAGTCTCACTCTATCGCCCAGGCTGGAGTGCAGTGGCAAGATCCCAGCTCACTGCAACTGCCATCTCCCAGGTTCAAACAATTCTCCTGCCTCAGCCTCCCGAGTAGCTAGGATTACAGGCATCTGCCACCACACCTGGCTAATTTTTGTATTTTTGTAGAGACAGGGTTTCACCACGTTGGTCAGGCTGGTCTTGAACTCCTGACCTCAGGTGATCCGCCTGCCTCGGCCTCCCAAAGTGCCGGGATTACAGGTATGAGCAACTGCACCTGGCCCTTGTTGAAATATTTTGAAGAAACTTGCTTGTTGCTATGAGAGGTACAAAGATGAATCAACTCCCTTAGCAGCTGTCTTCTTTTCTAATGCATAACTGACAAAACTCAGAATTAGCCCCAGAGTGTTCAGGGGGTGGTCAGAGTGGGGAAAGAGAGGAAAACCCATGACAAAGAAACAAAATGTGACTTCATTGGGATTGTCTTTCAAAATGTGCCCTGTAATTTCCCAGTCGTGCGGTTCTTCTAACCAGAGCCACCCTGGCTTTACATTTTTCGATCCAATCTGAACTCTGACAGAAGCTGCAGATATCCTGCAGCCTGAGTCCCACCCCACCACTTCATCAAAACTGGCCTCCCCAGGGATATAAAATCCACTTTATTGTTGCCACATCCAGCGTATACTTCTCTGGGAGGGATCCCAAGACAGAACTACCCAACCAAGCCACTTCCAGAGTTCTGATTCATAGACATTCTGAGAGATCATGAATGGTGTTGTTTTAAGCCACTAAACTGTGGGATACTTTTTTTTTTTTTTAACAATAGATAATGAATTTAGTTTTTTAAAAAACATGTCAAATATTTATTAACTCATTAATTAGGGAACCAGCAAGATGACAAAGCTCATTCAAAAGAGGATATGAGAAGCTGGGCGTGGCGGCTCATGCCTATAATCCCAGCACTTTGGGAGGCTGAGGCAGGCAGCCTGAGGTCAGGAGTTCACGACCAGCCTGGCCAACATGGTGAAAACTGGTCTGGACCAAAAATACCAAAATTAACTGAGTGTGGCAGCGGGCGCCTGTAATCCCAGCTACTCAGGAGATGAGGCAGGAGAATTGCTTGAACCTGGGAGGTGGAGGTCACAGTGAGCCGAGATCGCACCACGGCACTCCTGGGTGACAGGGTGAGTAAGATTCCATCTCAAAAAGAAAAGAATATGAGAAATTGACATGTATAGACAGTGGGGAAAAGAAGGTTGGAATAAGATAACAAAGTTAGACACAAAAATGGTTAATGCCCTAAAGGGCAATAAAACTATGACATTTGTAGTTTTCTTTTCTAACAGGACAGAAATCATTTGCAACTAAGTAATCTGCAAAGAAGTATCCAATCCAGAGTCTACGCCCTCCTCAACAGCAAATAACAATTCAAATGAGTTTCAGTTGGAGTTCCCCTGGAGTCAGATGGCTCTAGGCAGGCTTGCTTTAGACTACGCTCTAGTGAGACTTTGAACATATATGTCATCATCTTTTGCCTCGCTAATAAAGATTTGATAGATAACACTGCTTGAGATAAGACACCAATGGGATTGTCATTTTATGCAATACTATGGAGTAATTCATAAAATTATTTTACTCCTTTATTCAACAAATATTTATTAAGCACCCACTATGTGACCGACCCTGTTCTAGGTGATAAGGATACAGCAGAATACAGTCCCTGCCCTTGTAGAACTTGCAGCCCACTGTGGATTCATTTCAGTATAAAGGGTAGGCATTGTCCGAAAGCCATGATTAGGCATCTCATCAGAAACCAGCCCACACCCCCACCCCAATCAAGAGCCCCTCCCGCTGTCGTGCTGTAGGTGCGTGAAACACAACATTGGCCTTTGGAGTGCACTTCTGAGATGGGGGGTTCCATCTCTTGTTGTTCTTAGAAGTGGGACACACTTCTGAGAAGGGTGCTAAATGTCACCCTGTTTAATTCTTTATAGGACGACAACAGGTGACAGTTTGTTAAAGGAGAAGAGGCAGTTTTTTTTTCTTTTTAAAGAAGCGCACTGTATTTATCAAAAGGAAGCTGAGAATGACCCTGAATGTTACAGTACATGTGTACAGCTAGATATTGGTTAAAAATGGAAATGAGAACTGACAGAAAGTCTTTGAAAAGTGTAACAGCTTTAGTCAGTGCTATGGTCTGACTGTGTATGTCTCCCTAAAATTCATATGTTGAAATCTCACCCAAGATGATGGTATTAGGAGGTGGGGCATGCAAGGAGGTGATATTGGGAGATGATTAGGTTATGGAGAGCTCTTACAATTGGGATGAATGCCTCAGAGACCCCTCCCCACTTCTGCCACGCAAGGTTAGGGTGAGAAAACGACTGTCTAGGAGGAAGTCTTCCTCACCAGACACCGAATCTGTTGACTCCTTGATCTTAGACTTTCCAGCCCCTAGAACTGTGAGGAAGAAATTGATGCTTTTTATAAGCCACCCAGTCTATGGTATTTTGTTTTAGCAGCCTGAATGGACTGAGACAGTCTGGGAATTCCTCTTTTTCCTCAAAATTTCCTTTCTTCGTTTCCACTTTTTTTTTTTTTTTTTGAGACAGGGTCTTGCTCTGTTGCCCAGGCAACAGAGTGCAGTGGCACTATCTCAGCTCACTGCAGTCTTAACCTCCTGGGCTCAAGCAATTCTCCCACCTCAGCCTCCCGAGTAGCTGGGACCACAGACATGCACCACCATGCCCGGCTAACTTTTGTATTTTTTTGTAGAGATGGGGTCCCACTATGTTGCTTAGGTTGGTCTCAAACTCCTGGGCTCAAGCGATCCTCCCACCTCAGCCTCCCAAGCTGCTGGGATTACAGTCGTGAGCCACTGTGCCCAGCCTATTCTCTATTCTTGATTGTATGTCCAAAATATACCATCATAAAACAGGACCAGTGGAATCAAAGATAGGGGCTTAATGGGCATTTTTGTGCTTATTTAATCCTTTTCCTTTCTCTAGGCAGTGTACAGATAGGGGAAATTGTGTTTTCTGAGTACTTTTATATGCTATGGAACTGTGGGGCCTTTTTATATTTTGAAATATGAATTCACGTATATGTTAGGCAGGATTTTATCCTTTCAAGGATCTTTCTAAAGATTTCACGTTGGTAGCAGGTTCCATTCACAGTCAGACATCATTAGATTTCATTCTAATATCAAACCTGTGGCTTTCTTGCTACAACTTAATCTGTTTCTTCAATGTGGAGTTTAACTCAAGCCAAAGCCTTTTTAGAATCCTCCTTCCCCAGCTTACCTGAGCTTCCTAGGATGCACATAATCTGCCCGCTCTCCACGTACAAGGAGACATCTTTGAGGATCTGCCTGGTCCACTGCTGCCGGCAAGATGTGATGTCCCACCAGGGCCTCACGCGGTGGCTTTAAAGGAAACCCCAGGAAGGCAAAGGCAGCTTGGGGCCCTGGAAGGGACTACACCCGGGTCCCCAGCATTGATCGCACCTGTGCCCCACCCCGGTTGTCTCCGGACAGGCTCCTAACGTGTTTCAGCCTCAGCGCCCTCCTCTGTAGAACCTGGCAGATAGCGACGGAGGCTGTCTGTCACATAGGGAGGGGGCCTGTGCTGGAGTTGCTCCGAATGTCCTGTCCGTTTGGCTGGGAGGTGGCTGTCCCTGCATTCCTTCACCAGGTTTCAAGATTCCTTGCATTCCCAGTACCCCCGTTCCCATCCACAGAGGGCAGGCCGTAGACACTGGGGTAGGCAGAGCACTGCTGCCACTTTGTTTATGCCCAGGCCCTTCCCTGGGCAGGGGGAGGGACCATTCACTGTCGCTCCACGTTTCCCAGCACAGCCCTTCTCCCTCTCCTCTCTCCACCCGATCCACTAAAGAGGGAACCCAAAGTCCCCAGGCAGACACCTAAAGCGTGAAGAAAGGCAGCAGAGGGTTGAGTGCAGAGCCCCGTGCTCCTAGGGGAGCAGCAGTAGCAAGGGCTCTGCCTTACCTGACACTGTAGGAGGCATGGAGGATGCCCAGGCTGTGAGGCTCCAGGGCAGTGGCAGGAGCCCCCTCCAGGGAGTTCTGGGAGCCCCTGTTTACTTGGAGACCCGTGGACCCTCCGGGGCTCAAAAATGAGAGGTCACCCATAGCCAACAGGCAGCAAAGCTGGGCAAATTTTCTGGTGGCCTGACCCTGCCAGAGTGGCTTCAGTTGGGGAGCCTGGGGCAGACTGCCCTGCCTGCTCCACCTGACCCCGGAGTCCCTCGGGATGGCAGGACTGGGACTTGGCCACGGAGACCATTATCTGATGTACCTTTAGCCAGCGTGTCCTTATCTTGACAGTGGGCAGAACACACACATGTTTGTAGGTGGGCTTGCCAGAGAGGAATGCTGGGAGAGACGGGCCCAGGGCAGGAGGCTCCAGGAAACAGAGTGAAGACACTGGCCCTGGCAGGCAGCAGCTGGATCTAAGAGAGCTGCAGCCCAGGGGCACAGACCTGTGGGCCCCATGGCTGGGAAGGTGGCAGAGGAGAGAGGGCTGCCGAAAGGGACCGCTGCCCAGGATGCCTCGGTGAGTGAGCGATGGGGAGTCAGCCCAGGCCCGGCGGGCGGGCAGGAGAAATCGAACCTTTCTCTCTTCCCTCAGGAGCCTTCTGTCTTAGCACCACCCGGACAGCAAGCAGTGTGAGGACATGGCCACAGGACTGTTTCCTGCATGGCAAAGGGCTGAGGGGAACAGATTCAGGGTCCCAGAGGACTCTGAGGTCACTTCCTGCCCTAAGAAACGCTCCTTCAGGGAAATCATGTCCTTATGTGTGATGTGGGACAATTTCACTGTTTCTTTCTACTTTTTTTTTTTGAGACAGAGTCTTGCTCTGTTGCCCAGGCTGGAGAGCAGTGGCACGATCTCGGCTCACTGCAAGCTCTGCCTCCCGGGTTCAAGTGATTCTCCTGCCTCAGCCTCCCAAGTAGCTGGGATTACAGGTACCTGCCACCACACCGGGCAAATTTTGTATTTTTCAGTAGAGACAGGGTTTCACCATGTTGGTCAGGCTCAAACTCCTGACCTCAGGTTACCCACCCTCCGCAGCCTCCCAAAGTGCTGGGATTACAGGCATGAGCCGCTTACCTGGCCAGTTTTGCTTTTTCCAAATGAGACTCCATCACAGGAACGTGCCCACACATGCCGGGGACTCCACTGGTGTCTCCTCTGCCCATGTGGCTGTCAGGTTGGTCTCGGTAGTAAGTGATGGGTGAGACAGGGTGACAGACAGCTTTTGTGGGAACATCAGCATGTGTGGCTCTAGCAGGCAATCGCAAGGTCTGGGAGAAAGCTGGGAGGAGTAGAAGCAGCCAGGTGGCAGGAGGTGGAGGTACGTTTCCTTCCTCATTTTACCTGAGAAGTGTTTACTCAAGAAATAGCCTTTGACTGAAATCGGGGTGTGGCAGGATTTGAAGCAGGAGGCTAAACTGGAAGACAGGCAAGAAGCTGATCCCCACTCCCACCACCTCACCCCATCCCACCTTTCCATCTTTGCCTGTTGTGGGTAGGAGGGAGGAGAGAAAGATAAACATGATTGAGGACTCCACACCCAATGGGGAAAACCATCTGGACTGGTCTTGAGTTTCCAGGACTTGACTCGGCCAGACCCAAGGAGCCCACCATTTCTAGTCGGTTCTGCAACCACCACACCTGACCAGCTCTGCTCTCTGAACACCCTGTGGGGCCCACCACTTTGGGGAATGGTTAAAGCCTGAATAGAATAGAAAGCTAGCAGGGCTTTGGGAACACTTTCTGCCTGGGAGGGCTGACGATTCAGCCACCACAGCTTGAGAGGCAAAGAAACGCTAGGACCGCACCAGAAATGCACTCCAGCCCTGCCATTTCTGCTTCCCTTCTGTCCAATCCTGTCACTCCAGGTGCTGAGCGAGGGTCTGCCCCTAACACGTGTGGGGCTTGGAACAAGAGAATGAGGGTCACATTTCCTATGTCTAGATATATAAAAGTCATCAGTCAAGCTATAAGAACAGTCAAAGATACCCACACTCCTCAGCCTCCCAAAGTGCTGAGATTACAGGTATGAGCCAGCGCTCCTGGCCAGTTTTGCTTTTTCCCAATGAGACTCCATCATAGAAACGTGTCCACCCACGCTGGGGACTCCACTGGTGTCTCCTCTGCCCATGTGGCTGTCGGGTTGGTCTCAGTAGTGAAGTGATGGGTGAGACAGGGTGACAGACGGCTTTTGTGGGAACATCAGCGTGTGTTCTCTAGTTTCTATCCTCTTGTCTCGACATATCTTCCTCACAACCTGAAAGGTCAGGTGTAAACTGAGAAATTCTAAGGTGTCTTGGGTAGAATGCACTGGTATGGGGGAACCACTTCTAGCCCAAGCCACAACCGGTCCCCCTTTTCTGCCCCCCCTCAGCTCCATCCCACTCCATGGGGCCCTCAACACCCTGGGTGGTCACCCTCCTGCCTACCTGCATTGCAGCCCTGCCCTGCACAGACATATATACCTCTCTGGCCTAAAGGTCCTCAGGAGGTTGGGCCGGGGAGGAGGTGCACAGACCCTGGGGATGGACTTGGGGCCATTTGCACAGAGAATTCTGGCAGCTTAGGCACCTGGAGTGGTAAGTGCCCTTAACCCACACACTCTTCATGCCATGGGCAGGAGAAGCAACAGAGAAGGACAGGAGAGACCCGGCAGCAGGCAGAGCTGTGTGTGACCTAGGCTGAATGTTTCGATAAAATTCCTTCAGCCAAAAACAAGTCCTGCGTGTCCCCTCGCCAGCCCTCCAGCCGCGAGCGTCAGTACATCACTCCCCGCGAGGCACAGGCTCCTCATCTCAGAACTAGAAACATGTACGCTGTGAGTTTCCCTCTTGCCTAGGCATCTGACTCAGGAATTCGATCAGAAGTTAATATGGGGAGAAATTACAATGTAGCCCAGCAGGAGCAGAGCTGGTTACCTACAAATAAACCTGCTTTTGCTTTTTTGGGTGTCGCCTGTCGGAAATTCAAGTGATGTTCTGACAGGCGTACTGATTAAGATGTCAGCCGAATAGATATTTAAGTATTTGAAAAATACAGAGAGTTTGTCAAAACCTCAGGAAGAGTCTAACAAATCCTTCCTGGGAGCCAAGGAAAATATTTTAAAATGGAAGAGAGGTCGTCCCCAACCCAGGCACTAATTTTCTTACTCCGAAAGACGAGCTGCCTATGCCTCCTGGAAGGCACAATCCCTCAGTGGTGGTTGGAGTCCGGGCTGGCCCACACCTGCCTTCCCAGCCCACAGTGAAGGGGCTTGGGGCGAGCCTTGGAACAAGGAACCAGGCACCTTTCCCCTTCCTCTTATCCAGTTTCTGCTCTGCCTCCTCTTTCTGTCAGCTCCCTCCCCTTCTCAAAGTACCGCACAGCGGAACCCAGTTGGCCTGCAGGTCACCTCCACACATCGCTCCAGACTCCAAATGTCTGACCTTCCTTCCTCAGCCCCTCCTCCATGCCTAAATCTGACCTGGGGGTGTTTGGGCCAGCAGAAGTAATTTCTCAGCTCATTTACATTGTCTAATATCCCTCCTGCAGATATTTGTTTTAAAAACAACAGCAAGATGCATGTTAGCCCACATGAGTCTCTTAGCAATGGATAAAATTTGTTTTTTTGTTTGTTTGTTTTTTGACAAAGTCTCACGCTGTGGCCCAGGCTGGAGTGCAGAGGCATGATCTCAGCTCCCTGCACCTCCACCTGCCCAGTTCAAGTGATTCTCCTGCCTCAGCCTCTCAAGTAGGGTAGCTGGGACTATAGGGGTGCTTCACCATGCCTGGCTAATTTTTTTTTTTATTTTTAGCAGACACAGGGTTTCACTGTGTTGGCCAGGCTGGTCTTGAACTCCTGGCCTCAGGTGATCTGCCCGCCTCAGCCTCCCAAAGCGCTGGGATTACAGGCATGAGCCACCATGCACAGCTGGCAATGGCTAAGATGTTTTGATGATTCAACAACGAACAAAAATGGGACAACGAAGCAATGTGTACAGTGACGGTGGAGAGGGCGAGTGAGGGGCAAGGCCAAAGCGCTGATCTGCCAGGAGTCCAGCATCTGTCTGAGCTCTTTTCAATCTCCCCAGGAGCTTGGGTCACAGACCTTCTTACCTCCTCTCCCCCAACCTCCCTCCTGATTAGGGGCTTTGGCAGCTGGGGTTGAGGTGGGAACGGAACTCTGGAGTTCTACTCACTGGCTTGCTCTCTCAATTTGACAACATATTGTGAAATATTATACACAAATCAGCTTAAAGAACTCTCATGTACATGCCACCAATTACCAAAAGCTTTGAAGCCTGATCCTGCACTCCTACTGTGTCCCCTTTCTCCTTTCATCTCTTCCCACTCCCCAGAGATAACCCCTCTCCTGAATTAGGTGTTTCTCTTTCCCATTTTTTTCTGTATAATTTTGGGTCTTTATGGTGATAATTCAAACATTAAGCAATGGAAGTCACTTTGGTCTGCTGCTTTTCACGCTGTCCCAGAACTCTGGGGGTTCCCCACAGCACGCCTGCAGCATACTGTCACCGAATTTCTTTCCCTCCGCCTCCACTGACCTGGAATGTTCTTTCCAAGGACTTCTGGCCCCCATCGTTGCAGGGGTACTTTGACAAGAACACTGCTGTATGGCATTTGTTATTTTCACATAAAGCATACTCTTGTTATTTTCACCTACAGCATGTGTGTGCGCTGTGTACACAGTGAAAATAAACCCACCAGCCTCCCTCTCTGCCCGATCTGTCTCGCTCCATCCTAATCACCTGTCTCACCTGCCGAAATCTAAGCTTTTCAATGGCCTTTTCATTGTCACATCCCAAATTCCAAGCCCGAAGGGTGTTCTGGACTCTCCATAAGTGTTTGCTGGGTGCGTGGTTGATTGAAGGAATGTATAGTGTGAGAATGGTGGCTTGAGGAGGAAAGTCTGTGGGAACTTGTTAATGAAAATGTACTTGTTCCTGCCTGACAGAAATGTAAGAAAAATTGAATGCAGTAAAAAATGGACGTCAGGCGAGGTGGTTCACGCCTGTAATCACAGCACTTTGGGAGGCTGAGGTGGGTGGATCACTTGAGCCCAGGAGTTTGCGACCAACATGGCAAAACCCTGTCTCTACGAAAAATAAAAAAATTAGCTGGGTGTGGTGGCGCACACCGGTAGTCCCAGCTGCTCAGGAGGCTGAGGTGGGAGGATTGCTTGAGCCTGAGAGGTCGAGGATGCAGTGAGCTCTGATCGTGTCACTGCACTGCATCCTGGGTGATACAGCAAGACCCAATCCAAAGAAAAAGAAATGGTGGGGGACTTCCTAGTTGCTTCTTTGTTTGGGCCTCAATGATTTAAATGATAGAATTGTCAGAATAGGAGGAATTCAGGTCTGCAGATGGTTAATACCTTTCAAAGGTATCAGCTGACACCATGAAATGCTGATTTTTTAATGTACATTCAAATATACCACCACTTCAACAATAACAACAACATGATGATGACGATGAGAGGCACTACCTCTCAAAGCTCCCAGCAGCATTTTCAGTTGCTTCGTTCCACAAACTCCTCATCAAAATCAGATGTGAGGAGAAGTATGCCAGATGTTAGTGAGGACTAAGAAGTTGGTTAGGACTTTTCTCAGGGTGGTGTCTTCATGAGTATTGGGCATTAACTCTCGACAGCTACTTCACTCTCATATGCTGCATGTGTCATGTCTGTTTGGCATTAGGAGATATGAAGCCAGCTGCAGGGAAAGTTAAAGGCAAAGGGTCTGCCCACTCCAGTCAGATCTTCTCGGAGCACAGAGGTTTGTTTATAGAACTCTCTCCAGTCCAGAGTCTGGGTCTCTTTACCGTAAGCCGCTTGGCTTCAGGCTCCACCAGCCTGAGATTGAGGTTCTCTGGGGCAGGTGCCCCAGGAGAAGCCCTGAAGCTCTCTCTGAAGGGAAGAGGAGATGGGCCCTTGTCAGCGCTCCTATTTTCCCAAAGCGCCAAGGCTCCACCTGTGCGATCCCATCTCTTGCCAATTTGAGATTTCAACTACGTCGGCTCTAAGAAGTTGCTCTCACCTGTCGGTTTCCTCTTTGTCTTCTCCTATGTTCTCAGCGGCTTCCAAAGGAGCCCTTCACCTGTCCTGTCTCCCACAGGGCCTCCAGGATAGATTGTTCTCCTCTGAAACTGACAACAGCCTGTACTTCACCTACAGTGGCCAGCCCAACACCCTGGAGGTCAGAGACCTCAACTACCAGGTAGAGGCACGCCTGGGTTCAAGGGGAGAGGAGCAGGCAGGGACAGCCAGGAAATTCCCCAGGTGGAATAAAAGGGTGGGCCCACCTTACAGGCCCTCCACCCCCAAGGACAGAGTCCAGTCCACATTCATGCCTCATGTGTCAGGTGCAATAGGTGTCATCAATGGCATATATCAGAGCTGGAGGTTGAGAGGCTTGAAAAGAGAATGAAATTGTTGTATAAACATAAAGCAAAATGTGTGAATCTATAGAAAAATGTCTCTGGGACTCTTTTTAAACTATATTTTGAAATAACTTTAGATTTTGGAAAAAATTGCAAAAATAATACAGTGTTTCCATATACCCATTGTCCAGCTTCCCCGAATGTTAACATCTTGCATACCCATAGTATAATTATGAACACTAAGAAATTAAAATGTACAATGCTATTAACTACAGACTTTATTCAGATTTCATCAGTTTATATATATATGTGTGTGTGTGTGTATGTGTGTGTATATATATATATTTATTCTTTTTTTGTAAAATGTACTATTCCTGGAGCTTATAAAACATCCAGAGTGCAAAGACAACCACTGACCTTTCAGAGGCACCCAGGAACCCCCTGGTCAGATTCAAGGATCCATATTCTCTCACCTTCCCAAGGACCCAGATGGAACATGGTGGGGCCTGGGATGGTGAACTTCGGAGGCCTGAGTCTGGCTTCCTGTGGGTGTGAGTTGGGACAAGCCAATGAGCCTTTCTCTGCTCTGCCACTTACCAGCTGTGTGACCTTGAGCAAGTTACTTAACTGCTCTGAGCCTCATCTGTAAAACAAGGATTCTGATCGTGTCTGTGTTATAGGTTTGCAATGAGGATTGAATAAGGTGATTGATGTTAAGTGATTAACACAATGTCTTGCACATAGTAAACATTTGATAAATTATTAGTAAAGACATTTTGCTTCATGTTTTATTTTTATTTCTGTACCACTATTGCACATGCCTTTCTTTTTTCCTTTTTTTTTTTTTTTTGAGAGTCTCACTCTGTTGCCCCAGGCGGGGATGCAGTGGCGCAACCTTGGCTCACTGCAATCTCTGCCTCCCAAATTCAAGTGATTCTCCTGCCTCAACCTCCCAAGTAGCTGGGATTACAGGCACCCACCACCACACCCGGCTAATTTTTGTATTTTTAGTAGAGACAGGGTTTTACCATGTTGGCCAGGCTGGTCTGGAACTCCTGACCTCAGGTGATCCACCTGCCTCAGCCTCCTAAAGCGCTGAGATTACAGGCGTGAGCCACCACGCCTGGTTTGTACATGCTTTTCATTCCTCTTATCTTCAGACCTGGAAATAGCAGCTACAGGTTCTCAGCATGGATCCCGCTTCCGTGTTTGGTAAAACCTGGGTTGGGGCCTATTGTGTGTAGGTGAGGACACATCCTCTGTGGAGAGGGGCCACCTGGGGAACGACGATGCTAAACAGAAGTTGCTGAAGCCCTCTGAACCATTCAGCTCTCTAAGGAACCTTCTGATGTCTCCCCACAGGTGGACCTGGCTTCTCAGGTCCCTTGGTTTGAGCACCTGGCTCAGTTCAAGATGCCCTGGACATCTGCCAGCCGCCGGAATTCTTGTGAGCTGGGCATCCAAAACCTAAGCTTCAAAGTCAGAAGTGGGCAGATGCTGGCCATCATAGGGAGCTCAGGTACTGGAAAGGCAAATCGCTGGGCAATGGTTTCTCTCCTGGGATGCAGAATGGTCCTTTGGACAAATGGATGCTTCTTGTGGAGCTCTTTGCTGACTAGTAGAATAATACAGCAGAATGGTTGAGAGCACAGGTTCTGGGTCAGACAGACCTCGGCTCAAATCCTGGCTCCTCCATTTGCTGGCTTTTGTGGGTAGGTGCTGTTGTTAAGAGTCATGAGTGTGCCTCTTGTCCACCCGGGGCTGTGGCCAGAGCATCTGACTTTGGCTGACACCTGGACTGAAAGATCAGTAAACAGCTTCAGCATGTGATGTTCTTTTCAGACTCCTCCAGCCACGAGGGGGCATTGGTTCAGGTTGTTCCTCCACAATCACATTCTGATTATGGCCGGAAGCCCCTGCCACACTCTTACCTCTCAGCCTCTCCAGCGTCTTACTTAGCACAACCTTCACTCGTCTGCAAAGAGCCACGTTCTTGGAGTGCCTCAAATTGTCATTTCCACAGCCAGTTTTAAAATGAGAGAATGTCTGAGCTGAAAGGGGGCTTGGGGAACAGAGTTCATTCTCATTATGTCCCACCTTTCTTTCCCCTACCAGGTTGGAAGCATTTTCAGAGGAAGGTGTTCAAACTCCCTACTCCTCAGTGTGTCTAGAGTATTCTCTTGCGCGGGATCACGCGCGCACACACACACACACACACACACACACACACACACACTTCCCTCCATTTGACAGATGAGGAGCCTCAAATCCAGAGAAATTGAGGGATTCTCGTAAGGACACATATTTAATGCAGAGCTAGAACTAGAACTTTGGTTTCATGATTCTCGGATCAACGCATTTCTCCTTGGGATACACTTACATAATGTTAGAGAGAGAATTTTATATCTTTTAATTAATCATTTCCAGAGGTAGAGATTACTCAATTTTTTAAACATCCGCTCCAAACTTTTACACCCGTCTGGTAGATAAGTTCTGTTTACTGTATAACCAAAGATCAAATGAAATCTGATGTATAAATGCACTTTGTAACTGAGACAGCATCACAGTCATGAAGTTCCTCTCACTTTGTCCCTGTCCCTGCAATCCTGACCTAAATAAGAAAAAAGTAGATCCCAGCCGGGCGCGGTGGCTCACGCCTGTAATCCCAGCACTTTGGGAGGCCAAGGCAGGTGGATCACGAGGTCAGGAGATCGAGACCATCCTGGCTAACATGGTAAAACCCCATCTCTACTAAAGAATACAAAAAATTGGCCAGGCATGGTGGCAGGCGCCTGTAGTCCCAGCCACTCAGGAGGCTGAGGCAGGAGAATGGCGTGAACCTGGGAGGCAGAGCTTGCAGTGAGCCGAGATCGTGCCACTGCACTCCAGCCTGGGCAACAGAGTGAGACTCCGTCTCAAAAAAAAAAGGAAAAGAAAAAGAAAAAAGAGGATCCCTCATGGGCCTACTGTTGTGTTTTTATTTATAACATCTAGTAGTGTTTCTTATTGTATCTACTTTCTCTTCCCGAATCCAGCATCTAGGGGACACATGGGTCTTTACTTAGGGTCATATCATGGTTAATACTTCGCACATACAACCCTCTAGCTGTCAGTATCCCTAATTTGTGGTTGAGGAAAGTTCAGAAAAGCAGAGCAAGAATTATATTGAATATTTGGGAGGTTGAGGCAGGAGGACTGCTTGAGGCCAGGAGTTCAAGACTAGCCTGAGCAACATAGGGAGGAGACTCCATCAATAAAATATATTTTTTTTAATTTAAAAAATTAGCTGGGCAGCGTGCCACGCCCCTGTAATCCCAGCTACTCAGGAGGAGTGCTTGAGCCAGGAGTTCAAAACTGAAGTGAGCTATGATTGTGTCACTGCATTCCAGCCTGGGCAACAGAGCAAGATCCCATCTCTTAGAAAGGAATGAATAAATTACATTGAATAGTCTTCTGGTTTTTTGTTTTTGTTTTTTAATTGGTTTTGTTTTGTTTTGTTTTTCTGAGAGTCTCACTTTGTCACCTAGGCTGGAGTGCAGTATGTGATCTCAGCTCACTGCAACCCCTGCCTCCTGGGTTCAAATGATTCTCATGTCTCAGCCTCCTGAGTAGCTGGGATTACAGGTGGGTGCCACTATGCCTGGCTAATTGCTTTTGTATTTTTTGTAGAGATGTGGTTTCGCCATGGTGGCCAGGCTGATCTCCAACTCCTGGCCTCAGGTGATCTGCTTGCCTTGGCCTCCCAAAGTGCTGGGATTACAAGCGTGAGCCGCTGCATCCAACAGCTCCTGGTTGTTTAACTATAGATTCAGTGTTGTTTGACTTCAGGTTTACTTGCCTGTGTAAAACAGAAAACAAAACAACAACAACAACAAAAACTTTAGACAAATAAACAGTAGAGTTATTTGAGCAAATAGTGATTAATGAATCTGGCAGCACTCAAAAACAGGACCAGTTCAGAGAGCTCCCCCAAGCAATTTGGTCAGGTGATATTTGTAGACAGAAAAAGCAAGTGCTCTACAGAAATAGCTGATTGGTTACAGTTGGGTGTTCACCTTATTTATTTGAGGGTGATGTGATCAGGTGTTGGGTATGGACAGGATCTCATCAGTCGGTAGGTTGAGGCGGTGATTGTGATTGGCTGATGCTTGGCTGCCATGATTGGCTGAGACTCAGCAACTTGTCTCAGCCAATCTCTGTCTTAAGGGAATATACTGCTAAGATAAGTTGCAGTTTGTTTACATATTAAGTTTGCTTGCAGTTTGCTCTGTGGGAACTCAAAGTATGCAGGCAGTCTCAGGCCAAATTTAGTTTAACTGAGCAACTGAAATTATTAAAATGATTTATTAGAAAGGTTCATCAACTACACTTCCTGTGACGTTTACTGCCATCCCCTCCTCCACCTGCCCAACACACACACAAAAGAACGCTGGCCATAATTTTTTAAATATAAAGAAAACAGCCTGGCTGGGCATGGTGGCTCATGCCTGTAATCCCAGCACTTTGGGAGGCTGAGGCAGGTGGATCACCTGAGGTCAGGAGTTTGAGACCAGCCTGGCCAATATGGTAAAACCCTGTCTCTACTGGAAAAAAAAAAAAATTAGCTGGGTGTGGTGGCACATGTCTGTAATCCCAGCTACTCGGGAGGCTGAGGTGGGAGAATTGCTTGAACCTGGGAGGTGGAGGTTGCAGTGAGCTGAGATTGTGCCATTGCATTCCAGCGTGGGCAGCAATAGCAAAATACTATCTCAAAAAAGAAAAAAAGAAAGAACAAAACAAAAGAAAAGAAAACAGCCCTAGGCCTTTTAGTTTCTTTTATCCATTCAGCAATGCCAAAAGTGGTTTCCAATTGATGAGTTTACTGATTCGGAGATTCCAGCCATTCAATAAGGGTCTTGAATGGCAGTGGGTGTTTTGTCTTAGTTCATGCAGGGTGTGTTAGTTCGTTTTCACTCTGCTCTAAAGAACTACCTGAGACTGGGTAACTTATAAAGAAAACAGGTTTAATTCACTCACAGTTCCTCATGACTGGGGAGGCCTCAGGAAACTTACAATCATGGTGGAAGGCAAAGGGGAAGCAAGGCACATTTTACATGGTGGCAGGAGAGGAGAGTGAGGGGAGGAACTGCCAAACACTTTTAAAACATCAGATCTCATAAGAATTCACTCACTATCATGAGAACAGCATGGGGGAAATCTGCCTTCATGATCCAATCACCTCCCACCAGGTCCCTCCCTTGACAAGCAGGGATTACAATTTGGATGAGATTTGGGTGAGCCATACCATATAAAGAGTCTCCCCAGATACCACAGGCATCCTCCATTGGAAAGGCTCCCCACTGCTCTCACAAAGTTTTGCTCAGAAGACGTGGACTTCCTGCTTTCTGAATGGGAATCCGTGGTCCCTGTGAATGTTGGTGAAGTCCCCGGTGCCCCTGGAGCCTGGCTCTGAAGCTTCTCTTCCAGGTTGTTCTCCTGGCTATTTTGCTCCACTTATGTTCTCAGGGATCTTAAATGAGGTACACCTAGAGGTAGCGCACAGGCCCCTTCTACCCTGAGATCCTCTGCACAGTAACCAGAGAGATCATGTGGGGAAGCTTCTTGGTTTTTGAGGTTTGCACTGGGTGCTGTGGGGCTTCCTGCAAGAAGTACATAGTGTGTGGCAGGAAAGACTTGTCACATATGTATTGGCTCAACATGTGACAAGTCTGTTTGAACACAACTTGGAAAACTTGCTCTCCAGTAAGGAAATCAAAACTCCGTCTGGGGCCGGGCACGGTGGCTCACGTCTGTAATCCCAGAACTTTGGGAGGCCGAGGCAGGCAGATCACCTGAGGCCAAGGTTCGAGACCAGCCTGACCAACATGGTGAAACCCTGTCTCTGCTAAAAACACAAAAATTAGCCGGGTGTGGTGGCAGGAGCCTGTATTCCCAGTTACTCGGGAGGCTGAGGCAGGGGAATGTCTTGAACTGGCATGGCAGAGGCTGCGGTGAGCTGAGATCATGCCACCGCACTCCAGTCTGGGCCACAGAGTGAGACCCCGTATCCAAAACAAACACGCAAACAAGCAGAAAACACTCCATCTGGGTGAGTGGAAAGAGCTCATTCCTAGCTCCACGGTAGAAAGATGTTCGGAGCCTGAGCCCAATCCGCACTCACATCTTAAACAGCTGTCACAGAAAGAGCCTCATCGAAAGCCTTTGGAAACTAGATCCAATCTGATGCTGACTTTCTCAAATCAATAATAATTAGTACATCATTTGGAAGAGGGTGGTGTTAATCAAGTGCAATGAATCTTTTTTTAACCGTTTTTTTAGGTTTGGGAATACACAAGTAGGTTTGTTATATAGGTAAACTAGTATAATGGGGTTTTGTTGTATAGATTACTTAATCACCCAGGTACTAAGCTTAGTATCCAAGGGATTTTTCCTGCTCCTCTCCCTCCTCCCATCCTCCACCCTCAGTTAGGTGAATCTTTTTATAAAAAAAAGAGAATTAAAAATACCACTGATGCACTTTGAGAGGCCAAGGCTGGTGGATCACTTGAGGTCAGGAGTTCAAGACCAGCCTGACCAACATGGTGAAACCCCATCTCTACTAAAAATACAAAAATTAGCCAGGCATGGTGGCAGACACCTGTAATCCCAGCTACTCAGGAGGCTGAGGCAGGGAGAATTGCTTGAACTCGGGAGGCAGAGATTGCAATGAACTGAGATCACGCCATTGCACTTCAGCCTGGGCAACAGAGTGGGACTCTGTCTAAAAAAAAAAAAAAAAAAAGAAAGAAAGAAAGAAAAAGTACCACTGATGGAAAGAAGAGAGAGATGGGTATGGATACAGTCAGAACATATGTGTACACTGTGCTGTAGTTTTAAAATCGTTTCTACTTCTATTATTTCTCTATATTTTCCTCCATTATTTCTCAAAATAGATTTGGTTTTGCATTTTTAAAAGACACTCTATAAATGCTCCAAATTAGTCCTCACAAAACCAGCTTCTGAGCCAACCGACATTGAATAATGAGAGATTGCTGGCATGTTTGCCAGCCAAAAATAGTTACGTTAACACTAGCCTTGCTTGGGGAGAAAGGGCCTTGGTTGGTGGCAGGAGGGGACAAATGCTCCAGGTACCACCTGGCCCTGTGGCATCTAGGACTCTAGCCTTCTCCTGTCAGGCCACCACTGGCTGGCCTGGCCTGAACCCCCAGCGCCATCAGGCCTCACAGCCCCACAGGGGTGCTCACATTGGCTGCAGACAGAAGGCTTGGAGCTCCATGTCCTGGGCCCACCCCATCTAGGTCCAGGGACTATGCCGCCTCTCTAGGGGTTGGTCACATCTGCACGGACAGAGTAATCCAGGGTCCTGGAGAGTGTGTGGGGAGCAGTGGCTGCCAGGCTGGCCCCCACAGAAGCTCTGCTCTCAGGGATGTCTCTGGTGGCTTTGCAGGTTGTGGGAGAGCCTCGTTGCTGGACGTGATCACCAGCCGAGGTCACGGTGGCAAGATCAAGTCAGGCCAGATCTGGATCAACGGGCAGCCCAGCTCGCCTCAGCTAGTGAGGAAGTGCGTGGCCCACGTGCGCCAGCACGACCAGCTGCTCCCCAACCTGACTGTGCGAGAGACCCTGGCCTTCATTGCCCAGATGCGGCTGCCCAGAACCTTCTCCCAGGCCCAGCGTGACAAAAGGGTAACTGGCCCCAGTGGTGACCCCCAGGGTCCAAGAAGCCACAGTGTCCATGACCCCCTCTTCCCCTGCTGCCCTGCCTCAGGACTCAGCCACAGGTTGAGTTTGAACAACTCAGCTTGGGGTCCACCCGCCCTTGGGCTGCAGCCTGCCCTGCACCCTCCTTTCAAACCCCACAGCCTGCCAGAAGCTAGCTCAGTCCATTGGTTCCCTTCATTGCACTTTTTAAGATGTGGGATGAGTGTATTTGTTTGTGTGTTTTCTGGGCCTCCATGTGGGTAGACAGCCATGGTCCCCAGTACACGGCCATGTTCCTAGCACAGAGCACCATGCCCGGCACGTCGAGGCTGCTCGGGACCTGTGGAAAGAATAGGGGGAACCAATGTTGCAGCTTGGAACTCAAGTGCGGGAGCTGTCTCCCTTCACTTTCAAACCCAGCCAGAGGAGCAGTTGCCTTTATCCTTGGGGTCACAGTGTGTCCAGCCCTGAAGGAGGCCCCTGGGGTGGTCTCAAAGCTCCTTCTGGCCCACAGGTGGAGGATGTGATCGCGGAGCTGCGACTTCGGCAGTGCGCTGACACCCGCGTGGGCAACACGTATGTGCGAGGGGTGTCGGGGGGCGAGCGCAGGAGGGTCAGCATTGGGGTGCAGCTCCTGTGGAACCCAGGTGAGGGCCTAGGGGGCAGATGGGGGCAGAGGGACCTGTGTGGTCCCCTCAGGCTTGGCTTGGTCTAGCCAGAGCCCCACCGACTCACCAGGCTCCTCGCTGTGTTGGGAAGGCATCCTCGTTCTCGACGAACCCACCTCTGGGCTCGACAGCTTCACGGCACACAACCTGGTGAAGACATTGTCCAGACTGGCCAAAGGCAACCGGCTGGTGCTCATCTCCCTCCACCAGCCTCGCTCCGACATCTTCAGGCTGTTTGATCTGGTCCTTCTGATGACATCTGGCACCCCCATCTACTTAGGGGCAGCCCAGCACATGGTCCAGTATTTCACAGCCATTGGCTACCCCTGTCCTCGCTACAGCAACCCCGCTGACTTCTATGGTGAGTCCCCAAGGCCAGCAGCCAGGGCCCTGGCACATGGGGCCTCCCGGATGCTTAAACCCTGCCCAAGCTTGCTGAAAAGATTCAGGGGAGAAACTCCCAGAGGCTTCAGGAGAGGAGAAGCAAGGATGGAGAAGAACAGGGGGTGGTTTGCCAGCTATCAAATGCTAGATATGAGGGCCTGGAAATAGAAGCTTCTGACAAATAGCCACCCTTCTGTGCATGATAGATTAGAAACTTGCAAGCTCCAAAGATGGGGGGGCATGGAATCCAAGAGGGTGGAGATCAATAAAGATCAGAGTCTTTATTCAGACTCGGTAGGGAAACAACCTTTAAGGTCAAGAAGTCACCAGATCTTAAAACATGTCCTGGTGTTCAAACAGTGGCAGGGAGCCTGAAGGTGCAGGGTGGCAGAGAGGGGCCCAGGGTGGTGGCCTTGGCCAGAGAATCTCTAGATATGAAAATTGCTCTGGCAGCCCCAGACTTGCCCTTTGCTTGGCTCCTGAACCCTCAGCATATTACACTCAGGGAGCATGAGCCACTGCCTTCATTCTGCAGGGGACAGTTGCCTTCCCAGGTACCTGGCCTGAAATCCTGAGTGCTGAGGAAGGGCTTGGCTGCTGGACAGGCGGCATTGTTGTACCAGGTCCCGGGGAGGCAGCTGTCATGGCTTGTCCTGTAGGTCACCTGAGCCCCCAGTTTCCACCCAGGCTGGCAAGCTGTAGCAAAGACCCCACCAGTAAACAGGACAACAGTGATCATCTTGAAGGCAAACACGGGGCCCAAACATGCCAGGCCCAGAGGGTCTCCTGTTTGACTCTCAAACCCCTGCCAGGCCAAGGCCATCTCCATCTTTACAGATGAGAAGCCTGGCGCCTGCAGAGCTAAACACCTGCTCCAGCACAGCTGTAAGGCACAGAACTGGGACTGGTGCCCAGCCCTGGCCCTGACTCCTCATCCAGCTGCCCACACCCTCCTCCTAGTGTCCCAAGTTCTCCACCATCCTTACCCCAGGAGGACAGGCCGCACCTCACCCTATGTACTCACATTCTGCACAAACTCACAGAAAGGTCACCTCCCTCCCTATGCTCAGGTGGCAGCCTGGCTTCCTGACGATGTGTCATTCTCAGGCCAGCTATCCCCAGAATAGGGGCCAAAGGGCACCTGCCAACCTGGCCACCAGGGAATAATTTCAAGTAACCCTGGAGAGGGGTTACCAGAAGTCAAGTGTCCACAGCAGACCTGAAAACTCTTTTTTACATTTTATATTGTTATTGGAGGGGGTTCTGGCCTACAAGCCCTGGGGCAGGAACCCCTCACCAACCTGGGATGCAAGAGCTACACGGGGCCTGGGGTGCCCAAAAATCTGATGTTTTGAGTCACAGTGCTGCACGCTGGGGGGCCACATCATGGTTTATAAGATCCCACCTAGACATTATCTTGTCTTGAGATGTGTTATGAAAAGGGGAGGAAGGGCCGGGCGCGGTGGCTTACGCCTGTAATCCCAGCACTTTGAGAGGCTGAGGCAGGCAGATCACTTGAGGTCAGGAGTTTGAGACCAGCCTGGTCAACATGGCGAAACCCTGTCTCTACTAAAAATATAAACATTAACTGGGTACAGTGGCTCATGCCTATAGTACCAACTACTTGGGAGGCTGAGGCATGAGAATTGCTTGAACCTGAGAGGTGGAGGTTGCAGTGAGCTGAGATCGCGCCACTGCACCCTAGCCTGGGCGATAGAGTGAGACTCCATCTCAAAAAAAAAAAAAAAAAAAAAAGGATATGGGAGGAGGGAAGGGGGAGAGAGAGGAGTAGGTCACCTCTAGCCAAGCCAAGGCTCTGGGAAAGGAATGGAGGGAGAGTGGGCAGGCATGCATGGGTCTAGACTGAGCTGGGTATAGGGAGATCCTAGCTGTGGCTGGGCTCAGTTTGCCTTTTGTGGCATTGCCAGGGCCTTGGAGATAGAAGGCAGAGGCACTGCAAGAGGATGGCTGTGGTGTAGGGCTGCCTGGTGCTCCCCACAGGTTAGCATCCCTTGGAATTAGGACGCAGGGCTGATCAGATTGGGTCTCCAGCCGAGTATGCTGTCTCCCTCCTGGGGCAGAGCAGACAACAAAGGGGGCAGTGAGACATCTACCTGAAGTTGGCCAGTCCCTGGAACCCTCCAGCCAGACAGCCTCCTGCTTTGGGCAGGCTACCTGGGAGGCCAAGTTGCTAATTTTCAGTGAGAGCGAGAACTCTCACTATCCGGATAGAACTCTCACCATATGGATAGAACTCTCATTATCTGGACAGAACTCTCTCCGGATAGAACTCTTACTAATTGGATAGAACTTTCACCATCTGGATAGAACTTTCACTCTCTGTCTGGATAGAACTCTCATTATCTATCTGTATAAAACTCTCAGTATCTATCTAGATAGAACTCTCACCATCTGGCTTGAACTCTCACTCTCTGGATACAATTCTCACTCTCTGGATAGAACTCTCACCATCTGGACAGAACTCACACCATCTGGATAGAACTCTCACTATCTGGATAGAACTCTCACCATCTGGATAGAACTCTCACCATCTGGATAGAACTCTCACTATCTGGATAGAATTCTCACCATCTGGATAGAACTCTCACTATCTGGATAGAACTCTCACCATCTGGATAGAACTCTTACTCTCTGGATATAATTCTCACCCTCTGGAGAGAACTCTCACCATCTGGATAGAACTCTCACTATCTGGATAGAATTTTCCCGATCTGGATAGAACTCTCACTATCTATCTGGATAGAACTCTCACCATCTGGATAGAACTCTCACTATCTATCTGGATAGGACTCTCACGATCTATCTGTATAGAACTGTCACTATCTACCTGGATAGAATCTCACCATCTGGATAGAACTCTCACCATCTGGATAGAACTCTCACTATCTATCTGGATAGGACTCTCACCATCTGGATAGAACTCTTACTATCTGGATACAATTTTCCCCATCTAGATAGAACTCTCACTATCTATCTGGATAGAATTCTCACTCTCTGTATAGAACTCTCACGATCCATTTGTATAGAACTCTCACTACCTACCTGGATAGAAGTCTCACCATCTGGATAGAACTCTCACTCTCTGGACAGAACTCTCACATCTGGATAGAACTCACACTATCTGAATAGAACTCTCACCATCTGGATAGAACT